TTGGGGCAGGTCCCAGTTCCTGGTTGCTTTCTTCAGGTTGTGTCCCCCCTCTTAGAATTCTTTGTAATGCTGGCTTAATGTTTATGTATTCATTTAGTTTTTCTTTGCTATTAAAAGTTTTCAGCTCTCCATTGAATGTGAATGCTAGCTTTGCCGGGTATATCAGTCTGGGTTGGCAGTTATTGGCTCTCAGGGCTCGTATGGTGCTTTCCCAGGCTTTTCTTGCATTCATTGTTTGTGTGGAGAGATCTGCAGTGATTCTAATTTTTTTCCCGTTGTAGTATAGCTCCTTCTTCATTTTTGCTGCATGCAGGATTGTTTCCTTATTATTCAGATCCATCATTTTTACTATAATGTGTCTAGAAGTGTTTCTCCTGGGATCTTGCTTGTTGGGTGTTCGATAAGCTTTTGTGATGTAGTTAAGATGGTCGTTTTTGAGGTGGGGAAAATTTTCATTGACTATCTTGTTAAATAGGTGTTGCATTCCCTTGCTCTGGAATTCCTCACCTTCGTCCACTCCGATTATGCGAAGGTTAAATTTTTTAGCATTATCTGCTTGCTCTTGAATTTCCCTTTGGTTTGAGTGATTTTTCCATATCTGTCACTTTTTGGTCCAGTTGGTGTATTCTGTCTTCTGTATCTGACACTCTACCTTCCATTTCATTCACTCTGTTGACCGTGGCTTCTATTGTGGTTTGCATGGAGGAAATGGATCCCTTTATGGATTCAATGTTGGTTCTCAGAGTACTGATCTCACCTCTCAATGAGGTGAGATCAGTATGCATTACCTCTAATTTGGCGTTTATCTCACCTCTTACTGAGGTTTGTGCAGCTTCTATTTTTGCATCCAACTTTTGTTTGATATCCTGTATATCTTTTGATAGTTCATCCTTGTGCTCTTTCAATTTCTGATCCATTTCTCGCTTTATTTCTTGAGTCATTGCCTCCAGTAACCCTTGGATGTAGCTTTTGTCTTCCATTCCTGCTTTGCTCCCACTGGGGCTCTCCCCTGCGTGGCTGCTGGCTTTTGAGGTGAGCTTGCTGTCCTGGGTAGTGGTAAACCTTGTGATTTTTCTCTGTGATTTTCGCATGGGGGTTCAGGAGACTGCTCTTCAATTTTGTTTTGGTGTGTCTGTCTTTGCTTGGTTGCTGATTCCTGTAGGTCGTCAGTTGTTGTTGCAGTCCGAGTTCAGTTGGGGTGGTTGCGGGCTGGGTTGGGCGGCCCCCGCCGGGTCGTTGTGATCGCGATCGGGCGGGTGGTCTGCCGACAGGTCCCTTTGTCGCGCTGCTGGTGCCGGGCGGCTTTGGCGGGATTGAGCCTCTCCGCTCCGGTGGAGAGTGAGGGGTGGGGGTGGGATCCTCGTGGAGACTCCCGGCTGGTAGGTTTCTCTGTTCCTGGCGATCCGCTGTTCTGCAATCCGGTACCTGGTGATCTGCAAGCAGCCCCCTGTGTCTCTGGGGCTCCGGCAGCCCCTGCCGGGCCGGCTGGCCGGTGGCTTGGCGCACTGCCGCGCGGCCAGTAAAGGTTGGGGGAGGGGTCTTCGTTCTTCTCTGTTCTGAAATTCTTCTTTTCCTCTCTTTCTTTTTTTATTTTCCACCTCTGGTTTTTCTCTGAGTATTCGTCTTTTTGTTGTTGTCGGTCTCTTGGGGAGATTAAGCGTTGGAACTCGAACTCTCTTTTTGGTTGGAGAGAGCTGTGGCGTTTCCCTACTGCCCCGTCGCCATCTTGGTCCCCCCTCTCCCAACCTTTAATTTGTAAAAGCGTAATTTACAAAGGATTGTAACTGGACCACTGTGTGGAATCTCTATATAAGGAAGATGTTTTTAGAAAAAATAATATTTTAAGTTAGGAGAATTGACTAAATGACTATAGAATTTAGAATTTGTAAATGGAAGAAGTAGCCTTGTAGCTTATGATCTTCCTACCACTGAAAATGCTTAGAGATGTCTGTTAAAGATGAACATGTATACACTAATGAGCCCAATACTTTAGAAATGTCCATTCAATTTATGTCTGATTTTTTTGTGTGCCTGAAAAAAAAATTGTGCCTATATATTGGAAGAGAAGATGGGATTTTCCCACTTTCGTATTTTATTTTAAAAACCTACTTGAAAATAATTCATGATCCTTCTGTGACTCTGTCATCTTTGTTTTTTGGGTTTTCTCTGAAGGGGCATCTAACCTCCAGAGAGAAATTCTGGCACATAAGAATTATGAAGTTGGAGCTGGGAAGGTGGCTCAGTGGTAGAGTGCTTGCCTTGCATGCATGAGGCCCACAGTTAGATTTCTCAGCACCACATAAGCAGAAAAAGCCAGAAGTGGGGCTGAGGCTCAAGTGGTAAAGCGCTAGTCTACAGCTGAAGAGCTGAGGGACAGCACCCAGGCCCAGAGTTCAGGCCCTACAAACAACATTAAAAAAAAAAAAAAAAAGAATTATGAAGTAGCTGGGCATCAGTGGCTCAGGCCTATAATCCTAGATACTCAGGAGGCTGAGATCTGAGGATCATGGTTCAAAGCCAGCCCAGGCAGGAAAGGCTGTGATACTCTTATCTCCAATAAACCACCAGAAAACCAGAAGTGGCACTGTGGCTCACATGGTAGACTGCTATAGCCTTGAGTTGAAGAGCTGAGGAACAGCGCCCAGGCCCAGAGTTCAAGCCCCACAACCAACAAAAAAACAAACAAAAAACAAAACAAAAAACTATGAAATATGCTAATATTAGCACTGTCTGTAATTAATTCCTCTAAACTAGAATCAACCCATATACCTCTCCAAATAAAACAGATAATTATGGTACGTCCTAAAGAGACTATTGTGGTATAAATGACAACACATGAATGAACCTCAAAAACATTGCTAAGCAAAACAAATATTTCACAGAAGATTGCATGCTATCAAGGTAAAAAAAAAAAAAACAGGCAATAACAACACATTGTACAGGGATGACTAGAAAGAAAAACAAGGGGGCTGGGAAGGTAGCTCAGTGGCAGAGTGCTTGCCTTGCATGCATGAAGGCCCTGGGTTCGATTCCTCAGCACCACATAAGCAAAAAAAAAAAAGCCGGAAGTGGCGCTGTGGCTCAAGTGGTAGAGCACTAGCTTTGAGCTGAAGAGCTGAGGGACAGCGCCCAGGCCCAGAGGTCAGGCCCCACGACCGAAGCCCTCCCCCCGCAAAAAAAGAAAGAAAAACAAGGAACTTGTGAACACACACTTAAAAATTATACTACAGAGAGATGTTTTCACTCATTGTCCATCCATATCTATTCTTTTGTCTGTGAACCACATTTTGAAATGGTCCCCTCATGCTGTGGTTTTGCTTTTCCTTCAATCCCATTCTACTATGTCTATTGGATCACTTCCCAGTTACCTCCTGTAGAGCAAAGCCTCTTCACTGAACCTCAGGCTCTGCAAACTCTGGCCCTCTTTAAGCTCTTTCTCTTTTCTCTGCCAGAATTTCTTCCTGATACTCCTTCCTACTGTCCTGGCTACCTTCCTTGTAGATTTCCTCAAGATGCCCATGAGTGATGTGAGGCAGTCCCCAATCATGACTTCCTGTTCGTTACTGGTTACAAATCTTTAGCCACAATTTCTATCTTGAGAGTGCAACTAGGTCTTACCACCTGAAGGCCACTAAAACCATGAATACCACATGTTCAGAATCTACCCATTTTCATCCCCTTTTTAGTCACCTGTTCCTTCCCATTTCATCACAGGCCCCCTCCATTTGAAATGTCCCTAACTTCCTCTTTGCTTGTTTAAGCCTATTCACAGTCCTGCCCTGAGCTCAGCACTTTTTTTCCAAAATGCCTTTCCCTAGTTGCCTTCCCTCTCCCTAGACCTGTGCTCATCCTTTGACAGCCTGATGTATGGTCAAAACTATCTAATCACAAATTTGTTTGGGCTCCTCTATCATTGTATCCTCTGTACCTGACGTGAGGCCTCACACACAACAGGCATTGGGTAGAAATTGTTGAACTAACAGACATGAGAAAAATCTCAGGTTAGGTGTACTTTAGCCATTTTTACTTTTTTTTTCCTCCTAATGTAACTCTATCTCCTTCCCTATAACCATAATTGCTTGCTTTTACAAGAAGATAATTCAGTGGCTGCAATAATCTCTTGCCTAGAAGGTTTAATGGTATATGCAATTTCCTCTGTATCACAGATGAGAGAAAGGGAAGAAAGGACAAGTACTTAATGTCCCAGTGGTAAGGGATTATGGGAAATTCTCTTGGGACAGTTAGTGGGATTTCAGAGTTGAATGACCCAGTTGAAGAGCCAGGTTTCAGTGGTGTTCCAGCATCTTGAGTTCCTGCTTCTATCAATTTGTGAGAACCCTGAAGTTTTCTCCCAGTGGCTTTGACTGAGAATGGTAAGAACTTGAAGAGGTTTTTAGAGGTTGAAGAATATGCAGGATTGAGATGTGCTACAAGAGAAAGTATAGAAAATGGCAGAAATAACAATGGAGATTAGAATGGTCCATGGTGAACTGGAAAGACAGCACATATCAATGATCTTGTGAGAATTTTAAGGAAGACACAGAGATGGGCAGAATAGTCTGGACATATGAAAGAAAACTGATGTGATGGCAAAAAAAATACTAAAAGAAGTTAAGACTGTAGCCAGGTATGGTAGCTCATGCTATAATCGCAGCTGTAGTTCAAGGAACACCCAGAAAAAAGTTCACTACATCCTATCTCAAATGATAGTTGGAGTGGTGTACCTGTTTGCCACTATAGTTACTTGGGAGACCAGGATCAGGAGGATCTCAGTCCAGACCATGCAAAAACTGAGACACTATCCTCAAAATGACAAAGGGCTTGGAGGCACAGCTAGCTCAGGTGGTAGAGCACTTGCTTAGCAGGCATGAGGCAAGTGAATTCAAACCCAGTACCATCAACCCCACTCACCCTCCAAAAAAAAACCCCCACAGTGACTTTCTTATCACATACTCTTAAAGAAGCATGAGGTAAAGAATGGAGAAGAAAACAGCAGGTACCTCTCGAGCAGCCACAGAAAGGAGCGTATTCATGACAGCTAGGACTTCACCAATGTTCATGCCAGCAAGGTCACTTTTCTCAGGTAAAAGTAGAAGGCCACCTGGGTCTTTATCACTGAAAGGACACAAACTCATTACACCTGTTTGTAGGAAGGGGCTTTTCCTGGTCAGGTTCCAATAAAGAACCTAGAGAGATGTCAGCATCAGTTCTATGAAATAGAGGGATTTGGGTCAGAAAGACAAATGGTAGTTACAACTAGGAGTATGCCACTGTCTGTCTATATGTCCTTCCAGAAGCACAGGCACATAAATTACCTTGATATCAGTGTTAAATATATCTGATATCATGACTGGTAACTCAACAATCCAGGCTAACGATCCCTGTATCTTCAAATGTTCTTCATGCAACACCTCCAGGATCTATCATCATCTTCGTTAACTGATTCTGAAAGCATTTTATACAAATAGCCCTAAATCTGGCATCCAGACCAGACAGTCCGACTTGTAAGCAGATGCTCAGTTCCCTCCCTCCTTTAAGAGTCTGTGCCTCCATTAAGGAACTCTAGAGTCCCATCGGCTTCTCTGATGGGACTGTAAGTCTCCATATACTCTCTTCCTGGAATGTTTCTTTCTACACATTACTACTCTGTGCTTTTTCAGTTGTTGTAATGTAGGACTGAGGACCACAAACTCCTTTGGTTTTAGTTTTTGACTTTGATATTTAATTAGAGACTGAAGTTCTCAAGAAGTCCTCACTAAGGCTGGGAAGGTGGCTCAGTGGTAGAGCGCTTGCCTTGCATGCATGAGGCCTTGGGTTCGATTCCTCAGCACCACATAAGCAAAAAAGAAAAAAGCCAGAAGTGGTGCTCTGGCTCAAGTGGTAGAGTACTAGCCTTGAGCTGAAGAGCTGAGGGACAGAGCCCAGGCCCAGAGTTCAGGCCCCACAACCGGACCAATCCCCCCCTCAAAAAAAGAAGTCCTCACTGGGTTCAATACTACCTTGTCTTATAAGGGACTTGGATTAAGGTCTTGACAAGATTATCAGTCTATCACTATTTTAGTCATTCTCATGCCTAGTAGGAACTCAAGACTCAACTCTCTAACTTCTGGGTAGAAGAAGCACTACTCCAAAAGCACAGAAGGAAGGGCTAGTTAAAGAAAAATAACTACAGAGGTTAGAATTATTCAATAATCAAGGAGAATCAAACTTACCTAAAATATGTGCACAGTGAATGGAATGTGAGCTGCAGGGACTGCTTATGTTCTTGCTCAGTGATATTCTTCTAGAAAACCAGAAAAAGGACATTCAGAAAATCTACTTCATGACACTCCACAGACATATGGTACCATGAAATAACATCATGTACTTGTCCCAAGTATGAGGAGAGCAGATTAAGCAGACCACCTTGTGGCAGTGAACTAAACCCCCGTCCAGTATCAGGAGAGGGCAGAACCTACTACTTAAACAAAAGCTGGCAGGTAAGTTTGGTTTATGCCCAAAGGTAATATCTGCAAGTTTTCCTTTTGGAAGGTTTGACCCAATAGTTGAAGATGCTGACTTCTAAAAGATATACACTATCAGAGGAAGAGACAAGGCAGGGATAGAGTATGTTTTTTTGTGAGCTTTCTGTTGTTTAAACACTGTTAGAGCTTTCCCTTTATCTTGCAGATTTACAGACTATGCTTACAATCATAGGAATCAGGCCTCCAGACAGGGCTATTGAGTTATTTTGGGGGAAGCTTACTGTTTGAAAATAAATGTACTGAATAGCTAATGCTGTGCAAGGCATTTGGTGGAGGGTTCAAGAGGACCCAACATGAGGGCTGGGAAGGTGGCTCAGTGGTAGTAGAGTGCTTGTCTTGTATGCATGAGGCCCTAGATTCGATTCCTTAGCACCACATACACAGAAAAAGCCAGAAATGGGTGCTGTGGCTTAAGTGGTAGAGCACTAGCCTTGAGCTGAAGAGCTGAGAGACAGAGCCCAGGCCCAGAGTTCAGGCCCCACGACCAACAAAAGAAAAAAAAAAAAAAAACGGCTTAGTCAGATAAAATATTAGTGAAGTTCAATTCATTAGCATAAGAAGAAAACAAAAACCCTCACCACTGCTTTCTGAAGGGCTGATAAAAACAAATGACCCGGGGCTGATCTACTAACAGTCACTAGTGTTATTCAGGAAGCCATGTGCCCTCTACTTTTTTGTGTAGGATGAAATAAAAATTATTCAATCAGCTACTGGTAAATGCAAAGAATTGGGACAATATTCTATTTGCTAACAGAGTGCTTTTAAATACTTAAAGCACTCTTGTACTCCAGTACTTAGTCTGAGTAACATGACAGTATCTAAAAACTGAGCAATAAAAAAACTGGAGAAACAAAACTTGGTAATATTGTTTTACAGGTATATTTTGAAGTATTGATGAATAAAATGATCATATACTTACTCCAAAATAATACTGGGTAGGAGGGAGAAGAGTAGGTGAGGTGTATTATAAATGAAACAAGATAAGCTTATCATTATTGAAGGTAAGTAATGAGTACACTTGGGGGTGAGACAACTATCTACTTTACTTTTTTTTTTTTTTTTGTCGGTCATGAGGCCCGAACTCTGGGCCTGGGCGCTGTCCCTTAGCTCTTCAACTCAAGGCTAGCACTCTACCACTTGAGCCACAGTGCCACCTCTGGCTTTTTCTGCTTATGTGGTGCTAAGGAATTGAACCCAGGGCCTCATGCATGCAAGGAAAGCACTCTACCACTTAGCCACCCAGTCCGCCCCCTCTTTCTTTTTTGTATCATGGGGCTTGAACTCTGGGCCTGGGCACTGTCCCTCTACTCTTCAGCTCAAAGCTAGTGCTCTACCACTTGAGCCACAGTGCCACTTCCAGTTTTCTGGTGGTTTATTGGAGATAAAAGTCTTATGGCCTTTCCTGCCTAGGCTGGCTTTGAACTGCAATCCTCAGATCTCAACCTCCTGAGTAGCTAGGATTACAGGAGTGAACAGCCAGCACCTGGCCAACTTTACTTATGTATTTGTTTAAAATTTTCTCATAATTTGGTTGTAAGCAAGTCATAAAGCTGGAGACTAAACTGTGACTTGTGAGACAAAAGCTTATACAATACAGATTAGAAATGAACACAGGGTCATGTCCTTTGATATCTATTTTGCACAAAGGCTTTAGAAATCTATCAACAAACACTTGAGAAACTCAAACTGAAATATTCAGAACATATAAAAAGTAACAAATCTCATCCTAATCAACTTCAGCGAAAGAATCCACACCTACAGTAAATAATTACCATCATAGTGAAGAGATGGTTCCGACGGGTCTGTCGATCAGGAAAGAATATGGCAGCCCCATTGAGAAGGGTGTTCTTAACTTCTTGCTTTAGAATCTCCACAAGTACTGAGTCTCCATCTACCTTATCTACCACTAATAAAAAAGAACAATGAAATCAACTTTCGTAAATTCTGTCAATGTTCATCCACTAAACCATCCTACAGACTCACTAGTATTTTGTAGTTAATACCAGAGCAAAGAAACATCTTTGCATAGGTTAGGGAGTTTTTTTTTTTAATTAGTAAAAGTACTTTATTCTCCTCTTGTATTTGCTCTATACTTTGCTTTACAAAGTTATGAAGTTCACAGCTTTATACCAAAATGTAAGAAGACTAAATTATTTTTATCTTCTTTTGAGACACAATTTGGCAAAGCCTTAAAAATAACCTCAAATCTCGATGCTGGTGGCTCACACTGGTAATTCTAGCTACTCATGAGGCTAATATCTGAGGATCATAGTTTGGAGCAAGCCCAAGTAGGAAAATCTGTGAGACTCTTTCTTTATAATTAACCACTTAAAAGCCAGAAGTGGAGCTATGGCTTAAATGGTAGGATGCAAGCCTTTAGAGAAAAAGCTAAGGGACAGTTCCTAGGCTCTGAGTTCAAGTCCTAGTACCAGCACAGTAATAATAACAATGTCAGATAGTAACATGAATTTTGTCCTAGTTTATCATTACAATCTCCCCCCTTAATCTTTTAGCTTCAACCCATTGCCTTGACTAAAACTGAGACTCAACAGTATAATGGTGATTATTCTCAATATGATATAGCTGTACATCTGAAACTAGAAGTCAATTGATGAAAGAATAAATATGGACTCAAAATAGTAATTCCAATGGATATCAAAAGCAATACTTATTTTTCACAATATTGATCCCTTATTGGCTTGCATCTGCAGGCCCACCCACAATCCTCTACAGCAAGAGGTTTGTGGCACTGGCAGAGGGTTGTGTTCAAGGCATATCCAGTCCCTACCATCACATAAGTGTGTATAGAGCTCCTTGGCAGCCTGAACTCTCTCCGGATGCTGAGCTGGAGGCTTCCCCTCCTCAGAGGCAGTAGGCACATCTCCCTGCAGCACTGAAAAGCAACTCTGCAGAAGCTGCAGTAGCAGGATTTGGGCACAGATGCACTCTTCTCTTGGGCTGCAGAAGGACAAAGAATATCAAAGAGTGGGGGCAAGTTGCTTTCACATTCCAAGCCATACAGCTATTTACAAAGGACTCTCCTTTCAGTGAAAGGGATGTCAAATGAGAGGAAGTAAGGTAGAACAGAAAGAACAATGCAATAAGTGTCTGACAACACAGACTAATCTGACTCTGTGAACTGTGGGGAAAGAAATTTAATGCTCACAAGCAGAAAAGGTCAGATAAGTTGATGTTAGGGGAATGAACCCCAAGATAAGTATTCAATGTTTTTTTTTATTTCATGCAATTGTTTCTAACATATATTTATAAGATGATTTCTATGTTGCTTTGTATGTCCCTCCCCCACGGTAAAACCCCTGCTTTTACTGTATTTGATGTTGGTATAATTTGTGGAGGGGAAGGGCAAAAACAAATAATTTAACTAGGGATACAGGTGGACCCATTGCAACAATGAGATGTACAAGTCTTTATGTCGAAAAACGAACTTTACAACTTTGGTGGGGTGGGGGGGGAGGATCAGGTGGGGAGTGGTGGGGACAGTATGGGAAGGGATGGGAAGGGGAAACAAAGAGGAGGCAACAATGCTTGATAAGAAATGTACTTGTTATTTTGCCCATGTAATTGTAACTCCTCTGTACAGTATTCTCACAATAAAAAAATAATAAAAAGAAAAAGAAATTTAATGCTCAGCCTGCTTCATCATCTGTGAAGTGACACTTGAAAAGCATTCTTTATCTGAACTTCTGGGGACCATGATATAAGATTTTCAAATCTGGGACTTTTTCTGATGTAGGGATATTTATAAATACCTACCGAGATCTATTGGGGATAGAACCCAAGTCTAAATGTGGATGAATTCCACTTTTCACATACACCATATATACATATTCTGAAATTAACAGGTATTATTTTCTTTTTTTGTGGTGCTGGGGATTACATCCAAGACCTTGTGGCTGCTAAGCAAACACTGGGTCATATACTTATACCCCCAGGCATACAATAATTTTAGTATATCGGAAGTGTGCCTGATTCATAGTATGAAGTCAGACATGAAATTTTCTAATTGTGGCATGTAAAAAGTTTCAGATTTTGGATCATTTCAGATGTGGCATTTGGGAGTTAGGAATGCTCAACCTGTATCACTATAATACTTGGCCTGCTTGTCCCAAAAGTTGTAAGGATAATAAAATAACAAAATAGTGGTAAAAATACTTCCTAAATATTTATGTAAAGTATTATTTTAGCAATAATCAAATATTTCATATAAGAACAATAAATACTAGTACAAAGTAAAAACAATTTAGAAGAAAAAAAGACTATTTAGAATAGCACAATTTGGTATTTGTAGTTTTGTTTATAACTATCACCTCATAATTAATTCTAACCTACCTTTGTTTTAGTTTACTGTAAAACTTCCAGAAGATCTGTAAATCAAGACCCGTGAAGTCCAGAAAAGATTTATATTTTAAGCCACTTTTTTTTTGTTGCACCTAAAAAAAGTACAGAGACCAGAAAAAGTTAAACTGAAAAATTTAAAGAAATATTATAATGACTCATTTACTTGTTATTGATAAGGAGTAGGGTGGGTTCTACCCAGTGAAATTTCCACACAACAGACATAACTAGTTACTAAAAAGTGTATAAAAATTTGCTTTAGGGCTGGGAAGGCGGCTCAGTGGTAGAGTGCTTGCCTTGCATGCATGAGGCCCTGGGTTTGAGTCTTCAGCACCATATAAGCAGAAAAAGCCGGAAATGGTGCAATGGCTCTAGTGGTAGAGCGATCTCCTTGAGCTGAAGGACAGTGCCCAGGCCTAGAGTTCAGGCCCCATGACCAGCAAAAAAAAAAAAAAGCTTTAGTGTAATAAATTTCTCTACAGTGTTTATGTAAAAATACACATACATACACTAATAAGCACTGCTAACACATATATGACCCACAAAGACTCCCTGAATTCACAACATGGCACTTGGAACATAAATCAATCAACTGGTGATAATAACCAGGACTATATTTCAGTATGATTAACCTTCCTTGCAAATGAGCCGATCTGTTGTAAGCCAGGTGCTACTCCTAGGGCCTTTCCCCCTTTTCTGCTGTGTTAGAAGCTCTTGAAAAACAAAGATCTAAGAGATCATACGTACATTGAGTAACTAGCCTTATAGTGTGCCTTGAGTAAAGGAATGTCAAGGGTAGATACTGCTGTATAGACACAAAGGCTTTACTGAATTCTAACACTCTATGGTGATGGCTGTAAGGTTTTTAAGTGAGTTGTCAGAGTGTTTTATTAGAGACTATAAGTTAGCATCAAAAACAAAAATCTTGACATTTAGTTCTTTTAGCCAAGAAAGTTCACCAAGACTTCATTATACTTTTCCTAAGATTTGAAGAAAATATAAATCCTATGAAATCATTTGGAGCAAGTATGGCTGGGATCTTTATCATATGCCAGTAGCTCTACTCCTGAAGACCTTACAACAATGTGTCACTTAAGGCCATAAGTGTCCACTACTTTCCTTGGCCTTGCAATTTCATCACATACCATGATGGCTGTTGTGCTCATTCATATTGCTTTGGCTTCAGTAAAGTCAAGTTTTACTGGCTTGTGTTCACTTAACAATGTCATTTGTTTTTCCTAGAAGAAGCAGTCTAACAACTGAGGAAACGCTACCAGGTCATGAGCAAGCTGTTGGATGAACTGCAGGGTCCTGAGGAGCAGGGTGGCACCACAAGCACTCTCTGTATCCTTTTTGCAGTGGGCACAGAGGATACTTTGCTCTGCTTCTGCTCTTGCAGGCCGAAGGTACCCACTGATGCTCAAGCCTTGCACTCCCAAGCGCTCTGCTGATTCCTGACGGGTGCACAGGAACTTCACCATCAAATACTGGGGGATAAAAAAAAAAAAAGAGATCTCAAGAGGACTCAGAATCACTAAATATAATGTAGGGGTGTGAAGGAGACTTTCTGGGAAGATCTTCCTATGTTTGTAACTTAATAGGTATAACCATGCCCAAAATTGGAGTACAAAATATAAGTTCAGTATATATAACAAACAGGAAGAAATACACTGAATGAAGTCAGATCTTAGTAAAGATCCTAATAAGAGAAATGGCTCTTTTGAAGGCAAAACACAAGGTAAGAATAAAAAAATATGAAGGAGTAAAAAAGACTTCTTCAGTATAGTAATGTTGAAACAAAAAACTGATATATAATGAAAATGACCAATGCCCTAAAGAATCACTTCAAAGCCCCCAACTGGCATATGTAACCCATAAGCTGGGACTTGAGGATGCACTCGTTTACACAAAGCAAAGGTCATTTCCAAAGCTCAACTTTATATTTTAATTAATTAACTTATTTATTATTTTTTATTTATTTTTGGCAGTACTGGGTTTGAACTGAAGCCTTATGTTTTCTACCCTTTGAAAACACCCCAACACAAAAATGGAGGTACATGGAATGAACAAATGCAGCAGTGGTACTCAGTAGAAACCATGTTGAAAATGAACTATACATACAACTTTTGGGTGGGTACAGAAGGGAAAAACTAGGAGAGAACCAAGGACTGTCAAAGAAGAAATGTACTCATTACCCATCTTATGAAATAGTAACCCTCCCTGCACATCACCTTTATAACAACAAAAATGTTTTTAAAGTTTTAGATTTAAGTTTCATATATAGGTCATAATCCAATTTGAGCTATGAGTTATGAAGTATATTAAGATCTGGGTCTAGATTTTCTTTCTTTTAATCTTTTGCATATGATTGTCCAATTGCTCCAGCACATTTATTGAATGCTGTCTCTTTTTTCCAATAAATTATATCTTTGCTCTTTTCTCAAGAAAGAAAAATACCTCAATCTTTTTTGCTTCTATTTTTTATATTTTATAGTCTCATTTTTTGCCCAAGTTAGCCAATACCACAATCCACTTATTTACATCTCTCACACAGCTAGGATGACAGGTATGCACTATGGTGCTCAGCTTTTTTCTTTTTAATTTTCTTTTATTGGCAAGATGATATACAGAGGGGCTTCAGTTTTATATATATAAGGTAATGAGTACATTTCTTGTTGAATATTTTTACCCCCTCCCCCATTTTTCTCCCATTTTCCCTCGGCCCCCACAATTCCCCGGCCCAAGTCGTAAAGTTCATTTCCGACATACTGTCTTTTTAAAAATATATTTTTTTTTATTATAAAGATACTGTACAGAGGGGTTACAGTTACATGAGTAAGGTAGTGGGTACAATTCCTATCAAATTGTTACCCCCTCCTTTGTTTTTCCCCTACCATTCCCTCACTCCCCTGCATGGAGTTGTAAAGTTCATCTTGTACATTTCATTGTTATAATGGGTCAACCTGTATCCCTATTTAAGCATTTTGTTTTTTCCCTTCCCCTTCCCAAATTAGAAAAATGTATATACAGGATGCTTTTTATTGGTCAAGATGAGATCTTGTCAACTTTATTTTGCCTAGGCTGATCTTCATCTGTGATCCTCCAAATCTCAGCCTTCCCAAGTATCTAAGATTATAGGCATGAGCCACTGTGACTAGTTAAAAGTCCAATTTTTGTGCAAATTGCTTTTTATGTAACAGTTCCTTCTTTAACAGCTTTTCCAAATCTAGTATTCAACTGCATAAAAAACCTTGAAGATAGTTCTTAATTCTCTTATTATTTAAGTCTCAGCCTCAGATTTATACTTGAAGTTAAGAAAAAATTAAGTGGCCAGATAGCTCTTTGACAGTCTCTTTCACTGCCAGGCAAACACGTCTCTTGCACATATGCCTGTGTACTTGCTTCTCAGCCTAAGATGAACTTCTCCACACATCTCAACCAAGTCAAGGATGATGGCTTAACTTCTGGCCCTTTATTTCACACCATCTTTCCAAGTGCATTCAAGGCTGTTTTGAATCTTCTTCCTGTGGGTTCCAACTGCCCCTGAATATCCCTTTATCACAGCCATATTATATCTGCCTCTCCCACTACACTAGGGACTCCTTGAGAATTGTTCCACCTCTGGGGTTCCGTTTAGGCTTAGGGCTGGCCTACAATTAGCACAGAGTGTACAGAATAAGAAGAGAGTAGGAGTAGAACATGTGAGTGTTGTGCTCACTAATGCTTACTTTGGCAACTCGGCACTGCTGCAGTTTGACATCTGTTTCATCCCACTCTTCTTCTAGCTCAAACCAGCCAATAGGATCATCTTCTCCAAGGTCTTCAGATGAACAGCCAGCCCTGTGTACAGAATGACAATCAAAAGAATTTCCTGTTCCTAAGCTTCTCCAGAATCTAGCATGTAAAGCCACATTCATATAGGAGTTACCTCATATACAAAGCTTGTCACTTAAAAGTGGGACCAGGGATAGCGCCCACTACCCACTGGGAATACATGAGGTAGTGGTCTGATAGAGGCCCTCCCAATTTGTAGCAACCTCATCTGTAAAATCAAAGTTAAGAAGAAAGTTTGCCTCTCTATACAGTGGCTTATCTGAAGAACCAGACTTAATGAGACTCTCATGAGAGAGGCATAATGACCACTATATCTCAAAAGAGCTATGGAAAGGAAGGCCCAGCTTCTCTGGCTCATTTTCCACACATCTGTCTAAATAATGTGTGACCAGTGTGGGGTCTGGACACTCACAAACAGCTGAAAGCAAAAGTCTGCGGGCTTTCAGACCCTGGAATTCCAATAAAGAAAATCTCACTCTTCATAGACCTTCATATTCTTTTTAGTTCTTAAGAAGTCCTTCTAAGCCAGGCACTGGTAGCTTACACCTGTAATCCTAGGAGGCTGTGATTTGAGGACCGCAATTCAAAGCCAGTCCAAGCAGGAAAGTCCCATGAGATTCCTATCTCCAATTAGCCACCAAAAAGCTGGAAAGAGAGCTGTAGCTCAAGTGGTAGGTTAGTAACCTTGAGCAAAAGCAGCTCAGGGACAGTGCCCAGACGTTGAGTTCATTGAGTTCAAGCTCTAAGACTAGCACCACTCCCCCCCCCTCCAAAAAAAAAAAAAAAGTCCTTCTAGGAAAGTTTTCTACAATGGTGGGCCACTTTTTTTCTTTTTTTTCCTGTCAGTCATGGGGCTTAAACTCTGGGCCTGAACACTGTCCCTCAGCTCTTCAGCTCAAAGTTAGCACTCTACCACTTGAGCCACAGGACCACTTCCGGTTTTCTGAGTGGTTTATTGGAGATAAAAGTCTCATGGACTTTCCTGACTGGGCTGGCTTTGAACTGTGATCCTCAGATCTCAGCTTCCTGAGTACCTAGGATTACAGGCGTGAGCCACCAATGCCTGGCTGGGGCCACTTCTTTTTTAAAAAGTAGGTAGGTAGGGGCTGGGAAAGTGGCTCAGTGGTAGAGTGCTTGCCTTGCATGCGTGAGGCCCTGAGTTCGATTTCTCACCACCACATAAGCAGAAAAAGCCAGAAGTAGTGCTATGACTCAAGTGGTAGAGCACTAGCCTTGAGCTGAAGAGCTCAGGGATAGCGCCCAGGCCCACAGTTTAGGCCCCTCGACAGATAGAAAAGAAAAAAAAAAAAAAGTAGGTAGGTAAATGCTATTTCCTTTAAGGGACTAAATAACTAAAGAGCTGCATTAGGTAGTCCTTTCAAGTATAATTTTAAAAACTTAGTATTTAGCTTGTGACTTAGCCACCCAGTGAGCAGTACTGAGGTAGCTTGTATGGATAGGACAAACAACCAAGGTGAATGTGGCTCAGTGGTAGAGTGCTAGCCTTGAGCAAAAAGAAGTTCAGGGACAGTGCCCAGGACCTAAGTTTAAGCCCCAGTACTGGCAAAAACAAACCAACAAACAAAAAACAAAAACAAAACCAACCAAAAAAAAAAACACTCAGGCAACCACAGAAAGGAGGGGAAAAAAGAATCCAAAGTATGTTTTATTAACAAAGAGGAAAATACATTCTCTCATTTCATAATACAGTTGACCCCACTGGAATAGGTAGAATCTGCTTAACCCAAAACTGTAAGTCTCATCTGCAATGCAAATTTAAGAGATTTTTCAATTATTTTTAAAGGGCTGCAATACAGCTCAGTGGTAGGGTGCTTACCTAGGAAATGCAAGGCCCTGGTTCAACCCGCAGCTATGTAGCTCAGGCTGGTCTCAAACTCTCAATTCTCCTGTGCCTCTACCTCCCAAGTGTTGGGATTACAGTATCTGCTATCATACACAGCAACAAGCTTACACTCTGAGGGTCCTCAAGGAAACCTCTGCCATACAAAGAGCTGGAAAGATCTAAGAGAAGCAAGAAGCAACCTTACTGACTAATCTATACTGTATAGTAGGCAGGATACAGAGAGTTGAATAATAAACCTCTTAAAAACGTACAGCCAGTACACAGCTAGCCCTGGACCATGTTGACCAGAGGGACACAACAAAAATGGGCAAGCAGATGCATGCACATTAACATGTGAATATCTTTTTTTTTTTGGGGGGGGGGGGGGGTGCAGTCGTGAGGCCTGAACTCTGGGCCTGGGCACTGTCCCTCAGCTCTTCAGTTCAAGGCTAGTGCTCTACCACTTGAGCCACAGCGCCACTTCTGGCTTTTTTCTTTTTGCTTATGTGGTGCTGAGGAATCGAACCCAGGGCCTCATGCATGCAAGGCAAGCGCTCTATCACTGAGCCACCTTCCAGCCCCTAACATGTGAATTTCTAAATGGAACTAGTAGTATACAGGCCAAATAAACCAGGATTTACAAGTAACAGGTTAGAACCAGCTAAAATCAATCATTAAGGGAAAAAAGCAAATAAGTCTATGTTTAGGTTGAAAAAACTAACCTTTATAGATTGAAAGACATTGTATGACAGGTTTAAAAAATCCTGGCTGGGTAGTGGTGGCTCACACATGTAATCCTAGGTACTCAGTAGGCTGAGATCTAAGGATCACAGTTTGAAGTCAGCCCATGCAGGAAAGCCTATGAGACTTTTATCTCCAATATACTACCTAAAAACTAAAAGTGGAGCTGTGGCTCACAATGGTAAAGCACTAGCCTTGAATAGAAAAGCTCAGGCACAGTGCCAAGGCCCTGAGTTCAAGCTCCATGAACAATAACAAAAAAAACAAACAAACTCCATAAAACAAAAAATCATCTTAGATAGACTGAAAGACACTGTGTGACAAAATCTTTTGAAGTCTTATGTTAGGCATATCTTTTGTCCAATTTCTTTAGAGAACTGAAATTAAAACCACAGAGTAGAAATGAGATTTAGACTGCATTTTCTACTATTAAAGTGCTTTGATAGTGAGTTTGCCAGCACCAGCATTCTACAGAGGCTTAAAAAAATTCAAGGTATGGGGCTGGGAAGGTGGCTCAGTGGTAGAGAGCTTGCCTTGCATGCATGAGGCCCTAGGTTCAATTCCTCAGCACCACATAAGCAAAAAAAGAAAAAAGCCGGAAGTGGCGCTGTGGCTCAAGTGATAGAGCGCTAGCCTTGAGCTGAAGAGCTGAGGGACAGCACCCAGGCCCAGAGTTCAGGCCCAGGACCGGACCCCCCCCCTAAAAAAAAATTCAAGGTAGGCACTGGTAGCTCACGTCTATAATCCTAGCTACTCAGAAGGCTGAGATCTGAGGATCAAAACCAGCCCGGGGCAAGAAAATCCATGAGACTCGCCTAGCATGCATGAAGCTCTGAGTTCTATTCCTCAGTACCACATAAACAGAAAAGGCCAGAAGTGGTGCTGTGGCTTAAGCTGTAGAGTGCTAACTTTGAGCAAAAGAAAAGAAGCTCAGAGACAGTGCCCAGGTCCTGAGTTCAAGCCCAGGATTGGCAAAAAAAAAAAAAAAAAAAAAAAAAAAATCAAGTAGAGGTACTTATACTAGATTGCTCCTAGAAGTGTGACCCATTGATGGGCAGTATCAGAATCATCTGGGAACTTGTTAGAAATGAAGTCCTAGCCAGGCATGGTGATTTGCTCACACCTGTAATCCTAGAACTTGGAGGATGAAGTAGCAGAGGTGTGAGTTTGAGGCCAACCTTGACTACTAGTGAGACCTTAGCTTCAAAAAAGTCTCAGAGCCTACCCAGAGCTCTGAACCAGATCCTGCACTTTCAGAAAACCTCTTGGTAATATAAATGCACATTAAAGTGCAAGCAGTACCATACTGGATGATATTTCATGAATTCTATTAAATCCAACACTTGTCACTTGTAAAATCCAGTACCACAAATGGAGTCTAGACCCTGCTCCATGAGTCTTGAAAGTAAGTTAGCAGCAGGTGGGGAAGGGTTTAGGGAAGGGGCAATACCCTTCAAGGGATCACCAATGACGTCTATGGCTATATCCAACAGACCTACTTGTTATCTTGCTGACTATGTCACACTGGAAAGCACAGCCATTCCCTGCTTCTTTTTCCTTGGCTTCTTGGGTATACAGCTCTGGCTTTTCCACTACTTCTCCGGGTAAGTTTTTCTCTTTGGTCCTTAAATCTTGGTGTTGCAACACAATGACTTAAGTTATCATCTCTTCCCAGTCCATGCATTCTTATAGGGTCTTTCTAGGTAACCCAGGCTGGCAAAGTGCTAGGATTACAGTTATGTACTACTATGCCTGACAATTTAAAGTACAACTTTAATTATTATGTCTATCTCTGAAGAATAAGTTTCTCCTCCACGCTCCTGCTCCTGACTTATTTGTCCATCTGACACACCTAGACACCACAAAGGTCCCCTAGGATGTCAAACTCAGCAGGACCATTACTGAGTTCATTAGCTACCCTACAAACCTCCTTCTCCCCCAAGCGTTTTCTCTCCTGGAGAAAGGTGCTAAGTCTTCCATCTGTTCAAGCTAAAACCCCAGATTCAGTACCTTCTTCCCTCTCCTGTGATCAGTCAGCCTCTGTGGCTTGCAGTTTCAACTTCTAGGAGCCACCTCACTCATATACTGTACTTCTGATTTCCTGAGCCTGTCAGCCTCCTCTTATGCCCCATACTTGCTCTCTTTCAACCATGCTGCCATACCACAAGCCACAGTAGCTCCTCTAAAGCATACGGTTCATCTCCTCACTCCATCTCTCAAAACTCTTCTACAACCTGCTCTACCCACCCTCCTGCTTGCTCTCCTCCCAATCATACTTTGCTTTAAGGATAAAGTCAAAGATCCAAAACAAACCTTAACTGTCTTGGCCTTTCCCAGCTCTCCAACTCTGTCTCTTGCCACTCTTCCTCCATATATCTCAGTCATATTTGGCACAGCTACCAGCTCCTTTAGTGGGTCCTTATGCCAGGTTTTCTCTTTGCTCAATCACTCTTCCTCTTTAAGCAGCTAGTTAACTATAACTCATCATTCATGATTTCCTTGATCAATTGAGGCTCTCTGCTCCCAGCACCCTCCTACATAGCACTCCTTAGGTGACTGTCTCTTAGGCTTGGTGTCTGCCTCCTGCACTACACAAAAAACTCTCTACAGTAGGGCTGTGCCACCTTCCTCACTGTTGTACCTTGTTTAATCATAGGTGATTCATAAATATTTTCAATAAAAGCAGAGGGAGCAGAGGTGGGGTAAATTTTCCAGGGGCAGGTAACATTGAAGACCTCAGGTTTCCCTGATACAAGCGTACATTATTCCTCAACTATTATGAAGATGGTACCTGTGATGAAAGGGTTTGAATAAGCTATGAATAAATTTTACTTTAGTCATCTTTGCACATAATACTAGAAATAATGGATGCTATGGCCATTGAAGTAAGATAGTGACACTTGTTTTATAAAGACAAGAAAGCACAGCTCAATAATAAGAGAACAGACACTTCATTGCGGGGGGGAGGGGAAGGTGGCTGGGAACTGTCCATGAGTTGTTTTGCTCAAGGTTAAAACTTTACTACTTGAGCCACAGCTCCACTTCCAGATTTTTGGTGGTTAATTAGAGATAAGAATCTCGGGGCTGGGAAGGTGGCTCAGTGGTAGAGTGCTTGCCTTATATGCATGAGGCCCTGGGTTCGATTCCTTAGCACCATGTAAACAGGAAAAAAAAAAAAAAAAGCCAGAAGTGGCACTGTGGCTCAAGTGGTAGAGCACTAGCCTTGAGCTGAAGAGCTGAGGGATAGTGCCCAGGCCCAGAATTCAGGCCCCATGACCGATCCAAAAAAAAAGTTAAAAAAAAAAAAAAAGAATCTCAGAGACTTTCCTGATCAGCCTGGCTTTGAGCTTCAATCCTCAGATCTCAGGCTCCCAAATAGCTTGGATTATAGGTGTATACCACCAGTGTTCAGTTAGACACATTCTTATTAAGCACACAGATTTTAGTTCTTACCTGTGTTTTACAAATTGCCTGAGCTCCTGAAGTTTCCATCTGTCGTATTTTTCAAAGCGTTTGAAGTGTTCTTCTGCATTAAATTTATCAGAAGATGAGTTATAAGCAAATACCAGCCCACATTGAGCACCAATACCACCACGTCGAACCTGGAAACCGACAACAAGAAACATGAAAGGGGCAAAACTTCTGCTTCCAATTAATACAGTTAAATTTTAACCACATGATGCAAAACAAAACCAATGAAATAATTCTGAATATATATCAAGTCATGGAAAAACAAGGCTACTTCCCAAGGAATGTTCCTTCACTTTCTCCATCCTTACAGACTCTTCAAAGAATTACAAAGATATCCATGTTTATATCCCTCACTTCTGTTATAGGCTTGAGACAAAGTAATAACAAATACCTAATAAAAAAATCAATGATATGGACCGCTGATATGTAATATATTACCCAAAAGTAGTAAAAAGAACATAGGAGAATTACCATAATTCTTATCTGTGTAACTTGGAAGGCAGACTCAGTTCCTGTAGAAAAAATAGTACTTGCTCTGGTTTTTCCAGTCTCTGTAAGAAAACCTGAAAAAAAGAAAAATTAGGAGTTTAAAACCCTAAGGTTTAAGATCAACAAAAGCAAAGGATAACTAGCCTATTTGGAAGAAAAATATAGCATATTTAGTAGCATCACACAATTTTTTTTTACCTCTTTGTATAGACACAACCACCTGAACAATGTTTATAAATAATATGTTTATAAATAATATGACCTTTATTGTTTTATATTTCTGGTGGAACTGGCGTTGATGTTAGGGCACTCAGGCACTCTATCACTTAAGCCATGGCCCCATTCCTTTTTGCTTATTTTTCAGATAGGCTCTTGTGCTTTGATCCTAGGCCAGCTTTCTTGCTTCCCTCCTTGTAGCTAGAATTACATAAGGCTGTGACTTTAAATCAGAGAGAATGAAAACTGGACAATCATCTTCCTCGGCCATACCTAAAATAATGACTTATGTTTGACTAAGTTAATAGGGCTGATGAAGGTAAGCAAGTTTAGAGGCTGAAAAAAAAGGGACTAGTTAGCTTCTAGAGCATTCTGTTGGGGAAGACTGTGAAAGACACTGAAATGGGCAAAAAATTACTGAGTACTCTTCCTAATACAATTAATACCAAAATTAAATTCATCTCCACCTTTTCTTGTTTCTTAGCTATTTTATATTTCTGTCAGTTGTACAATATTGATAATAATACAAATGTTCTCACAGAAATAAAAATTATTTTCTGAGGAAATAAAGGTGGTCATTCTTTATAGATGCTGAGCAAATTCCTAGCTAATTGTAAATGAATTTCAACATTCCTCTTGGTCTGTGTATCTCAATTCTCTTGAACTTTTTTTGTTCTTTTTAGGAATATCTTATGGGTATCTTCATTAATTCATAAGAAATCTGACATGTAATCATTTATATTAGTAAGGGAGTCATCATTTGCTTTGTTCTTTAACAACTCACTAAAAGCTCTTCTGTTAGACTCAAGAATGTCTTTTTTAAAATCCAAATGATACAGCACATACAAATGTTCAAGTCAGTGCCAGATAACCATTCTCCCCAGGACCCTATTCTTTTTTTAAAAAAAAATTTTAGTTATTCTAAAGATGAACAGAGAGGTTACAGTTATGTAAGTCAGGTAGAGTCTCTCTCTGGTCGGGGCTTAAACTCAGGGCTTGAGTACTGTCACTGAACTCTTTTGCTGAAGGCTTGCAGGATGCCACTTTGAGCCACAGAACCACTTCCTGTTTCCTGGTTGTTCATTAGAGATTAAGAGTCTCTTGGGGACTTTTCAGCCCAAGCTAGCTTTGAATAGTGATCCTCAGATCTCAGTCTCCTGAGTAGCTAGGACTACAGGCAGGAGCCAACCAGCACCAGGCAAAAGTACATTTCTTTTTGTACAATGTCACCCCTTCCCTTTTTCTCTCTAAACTATTCTTAACCATTATGTTTATCAAGATGAAAGACAAAAATCAATTTTATGCTTAGTATAGAGTTTGACAAACCAAAGATTTATGAGGTCAAATCTCTGTAAGACAATATGCAAAATTTGTCACCAAAATCCAAGAAAATTAAATTCAGAGACAAGTTATTACATGATTCTGTCATATGATTCTACAGACAAGTTCAAGAAACTAAAATACCAAAAAAATGTATTATTACTAAAATCCATCCCAATTATTGATCTGTCACCTTTCCCAGATGTTTGGATAACTGTATTTAAAAGAATCAATTATACGACTAGAGGCAAGGCTCAAGTGGCAGAATAAGAAAAGGCTGAGTGAGAGCTTAGGAGGTCCTAAGTTTAAGCCCTGGTATATTACTCATAAAGTTCCTCCCTAGGCCACTAAATCTAATGTTTCTTCTACTCCTTCCAGTAGTTTCAAAGTTTCAAGTTTTCAGGTCCGATATTCAAGTCTTTGATCCATTTTATGTTGACACTAGTGAAAGGTGACAGACAGGGATCCAATTTCAGTTTTCTACATATAGATGTTCCGTTTTCCCAACATCATTTGTTGGGAAATATGTTCCAACACATATTTTTGGTTTCCTTGTCAAATATCAGATGACTGTAAGTATATGGGTAATTTCTGGTTCTTCCAGTTTGTTCCATTGGTCTTCAGGCTTTTGCTGTTTTTGTTATTAAAGCTCCTAGTAAAGTTTGAGGTCTGGAACTGGGATACTTCTGATTTTGCTCCCCTCTCCCTAAAATCTGTTTTGGCTATTTGGGTCTTTGGTTCTATATGAATTTTTTTTTGATTGTTTTCCCTATCTTGATGAAGAATGACATTGTGATTATGATGGGTACCGCACTAAATAATACATTCGCAGAGGCCATTTTCATATTAAGTGCTAGAACATTATACATTCTTTATTGAATCATCAAGATTCAAAGCAAGGGAAAGGGTAACATTGTTCAAAAGGAAATATTCTTTTATCTGACTTATGTAACTGTAACCCCTCTGTACATCACCTTTATGATAACAATAGAAAGTATGAAAAAAGAAAAAAAGATTCAAAGCATTACAGAGACTACCACAAAGGAATATGGAGGATACTGGTAGCCACAAAGATGGAAGAAAAAAAGACTCATAAACACTCAGGCTAAGAAGAGTCAACAGCTTGAATTCAGGGCCATCCTCAAAGTTGGCACACCTCTACTTTGATTTTTATTTTATTCTTATTTTTTTATTTTTTTGGTCAGTCATGGGGCCTGAACTCTGGGCCTATGTGCTGTCCTTCAGCTTTTCAGCTTAAGGCTAGTGCTCTACCACTAGAGCCACAGCACCACTTCCAGCTTTTTCTGCTTATGTGGTGCTAAGGAATCGAACCCAGGGCCTCATGCATGCAAGGCAAGCACTCCATGGCAGCACCTGTGGGGCAGGGGAGGCACCTCCACCTTCTGCCTCAGATAAAACACCACCAGCCCTCAGCTGTGTAAAAGGGGCCTTCAAGGAGCCAGATGGCGCCGTTTTCTCCCTTTCCTCAAGAGAACTTGGCCTTGTCAACTCTGCTGGCAATAAATCTTTTCCTCAATGTGACCTTGTCCAGGTGGTCTTTTGGATTACTTTCTGCCTTTACATTTTCCTTTCATTTTGGTGGCCCATATGGGGATAGGCTCCCCAGTGGATTCATTCCCCCCAACAACCGGAAGGGCCCTGCCAGCAACCCTAGGACCTAACCCACGGTCCTAGGCAAACTCAAAAGACCGCCGAGCTTGTTTCCTACTGACCGAACGCCTCCTACATATCTGCCAGCGGCTAAAACGTCCTACCTCCAGGTAATAAAGAATCTAGAGGCTTAGATTTCACTGTGCAGGCTCAGTGCATCTGTCAAGGGGCTTCAAGGTCCTCCCCCTGCCCCTCCCTCCCTGCCCCTCAGAAAAACTTGGCCAAGTATCTAAGTCATATTTCTGAAGTCCTACACGGCTGAGGGACACCATGGAGAAACGTGATGACATTTCCTACTGGTTGTTTCCCAATTTTTGAGCCAAACTGCACTGCCGAGGACACTCTGCAGCAAGCTTTTGGTCCCAGGTCACTTACCATGAGTGAGACACAATCTAATATTCCTGACATTCCTCAGGACTTCCCCTTGGGTTGTCTCTTAAATAAAAGAGCTTCAACTTGAATCTGACATTGATTTACAGGAGCTCATATACTTCTGTACCGAGATCTGGCCTGAATATCCACTGGACAATAAGTCCACATGGCCCATTCATGGGACACTGGATCTTGGTATTTATACGGGATCTATCAAACTTCTGTAGGTGGTGGGGCAGGTTAAAGGAGGTCAGCTATGTTGATGCTTCTCTTTCTTTCTCTCCTTCCTCCAAACTAAACTTCTTCCTGAGTCCTATCAATGCTGGCACCTAGTGTATATTTCAAGAAATTACCTGCAAGGGCACCTGGTTCCACCAAGCTCTCTGCTAAGTGGGAGGGACCCTACTTAGTATCTCTCTATACTCCCACAGCCTTGTAGGTCCACACTGGATTCACATCTGCCACGTTAAACATCACCTGCCTAACGGACCCTCATGTACCTCCGAGCCAACCAGACCCCTATCTCCAGTCACTGAGGAACCAGAGGGCCCTGCCGCGGACAAGTAAAATCCCTTGACCATCAAGACCTTGATCAGCTTTATGTACAGTACCTGACTCTCCCCCGAATGGCTACAGTGCCCCCTCTCAGCAAGAAGTAGCTCCAGAAGAGAAAACCTTTGCCCACACTCCCTGCATGGTACTGCATATTAAACCAAAAAGGGGGGAAATGTAAGTCAGCAAATGCCCCTTCACAGGCCTAAGCTCCATCTTCGATGGCGGCACCTGTGGGGCAGATGAGGCACCTCCCACCTTCTGCCTCAGGTAAAACACCTTCAGCCCTCAGCTGTGTAAAAGAGGCCTCTAAGGAGCCAGATGGTGCCATTTTTTTTCCCTTTCCTCATGAGAACTTGGCCTTGTCAGCTCTACTAGCAATAAATCTTTTCCTCTATGTGACCTTGTCCATGTGGTCTTTGTAACCCATGTGCCTGGGTTACATTTTCTTTTCAGGGGACAAAAGAGTCTTCCTCTCAATACAGCATATGTATTGGAAAATGCCTGCCTCATTATGTTTCCAGCAGTATGGTACTGAGCCACTGTGTTTCTTAATACTTTAAGCTAACACAACCGAAAGAGAAACTAAACTTAAACATAGACAAAAATAGTATTTCTACTCCAAGAGAAATCCATGTGCATGCTTTCAGAACTGCAGTGTTAAATAGCCCTCAGGCTCTTGAATATTTGCACATTTATACAGGTCATTAGTACTGAGACAGCTTACAGTTAAACAGGAGTAAGTGTTCAGAAATATCACCAACTAAAAACAAGCTAAGGCGAAGACTACACATCTGAAAGTCACTCACACCAGAAGTGGCTTCACAGCTTACCTACTTCTACACTACAAATAGATGGACCCATCACTCACCATCCCTTGTCCATGGTTCCACAAGGAGGTTTTCAGGTCCTGACTTGTCTTCTTTTCCTTTGACATCACAAGCCTGAAGAGTCAACTGAAGAGGTTTACCTGACCAAAGAAAAGAAGGCAACTTAGCTGGGCATCGGTGGCTCATGCCTGTAATCCTAGCTACTCAGGAGGCTGAGATCTGAGGATTTCGGTTCAAAGCTATCCTGGGCAGGAAAGGCTGTGAGAATCTTATCTCCCATTAACCACCAGAAAACCGGAAGTGGCACTGTGACTCAAGTCATAGAACGCTCGCCTTGAGCTGAAAAGCTGAGGGACAGTGCCCAGGCCAGAGTTCAAGCCCTATAACCGTCAAAAAAAAAGAAGGTAACTCTTAAGTTGGCTCTATGAAGAAATGAAAACTAAGAATGTGCCTATGGTCATGCAGAGTACTGACTAAAAAGTCTGACTATTTAAAAACTAAAACAGAACAATATTACGCTAAAGTTGATACTATTCTTCTGTTTTCCTGAAAGAGGAAAAGTATAACTATGTCCTTGAGCTTTTCTAATCAGTCTCTAGATCACTTCAGAAAGAACACATATACATTATTACTATACACTCAGTATACCTTTGGAATTGCTAAGACACTTTTTTGAAGCCAATAATCAGTTTTATTAGATTTGCATTTAATATTTTAATCCTAGTTCTTTAAAACATCTCTAGGAAAATTTTGAACATTTCAAGAATCAACCAAAGATGACTGATCAACAAAGAAGATCATCAAAGATGATTGAAAATGACTTTCCTGGGGCTGGGAAGGTGGCTCAGTGGTAGAGCGCTTGCCTTGCATGCATGAGGACCTGGGTTCGATTCTTCAGCACCACATAAGCAAAAAGAAAAAAGCCGGAAGTGGTGCTGTGGCTCAAGTGGTAGAGCACTAGCCTTGAGCTGAAGAACTGAGGGACAGTGCCCAGGCCCAGAGTTCAGGCCCCACGACTGGACCCCCCCCCCCCCAAAAAAAAAGAAAATGATTTTCCTTCCATTATATAAGAAATACTTATTAATCTATTACAGAATCCAGAATTAGACTTTTGTTTTTGTTTATTTGCCAGTTGTAGGGCCTGAACTCAGCCTGGGTACATCCCTCAGCTCTATCAGCTCAAGGCTAGTGCTCTACTACTTGAGCTACAGCACTACTTCTGGCTTTTTCTGCTTATGTGGTGCTGAGGTATTGAACCCAGGGCCTCATACATACAAGGCAAGCACTCTACCACTGAGCCACCTTCCCAGCCCCACAATTAAGATCTTTACTAATAATGTATAATCCCTTGCGCAACCCTTCCCTATCCCCCACTATCTGAACAACCACTGATCTGTATAAGTAAACTTTTCTAGAGAACACTTCAGCTTCTACATTAACGCCTATCCTTCCCATTGAGCCATGCACACTCTAGGTCTCCTCTTCTTTAAGAGAAGACTCTTCCAAATGTAGGAAAAAACTAGAAGGATGATTGTCTGCCTTTAAAAATTAAATATAAATCAACAAATGAAGTCACAGTAAAACACAGGCACAAACACCATGGTATAAATACCCTAATAACATTTCTATTACTGGAGAGGATGGGATCTAATACTGAATTTGTGGACAGAAACTTTACCACTAGAGACCAGGACAGCAAGTAAGTTTTTAACCACATTGCCAAGTATAGTATTTGGGAACAACTTTGTAGGTTCTTGGGTTGAGAGGGATTAGGGGTCTGAACCCATCTTAGCTCAGTGACAAAGTGCTAAGACTGATTGCTAGTGGGTCCAGGGAAAGTGGAGACATGATGAACTTCAGAGGGATGTATTCTAAGCCAAGGATTTCTTTGTACCAAGTTTCGGCAAGTTTCTTCCTTCCAGATGGTAAGTTTTCCAACTTTCAAAACTTCTTTTTTTTTTTTTGGGGGAGGGGGAGAGGGGTCTGGTCGTGGGTCCAGAACTCTGGGCCTGGGCACTGTCCCTCAGCTCTTCAGCAAAAGGCTAGTGCTCTACCACTTGAGCCACAGAGCCACTTCCGGCTTTTTTCTTTTTGCTTATGTGGTGCTGAGGAATCGAACCCAGGGCCTTATGCATGCAAGGCAAGCGCTCTACCACTGAGCCACCTTCCCAGCCCTCAAAACTTCTTGACCTACATTATGACACACTCCAGTATGTCCCCAAAGATGATTGTTCAAAGGGGCACTACACTTAATGACTGCATGAGCAAATGTTGGAAGACTACTAAGAGACACTCGGATGTCCTCTTCTGACCCTGCCATAATTACAAACTATGAACATCTCCCTTCCCTCTACTAACTTCAACCAAAAGCCCACACTCAAATGGTATGCTAACCCAGGGATAAAGGTCTAGTCTATGAATTGCCTTGAAAGACCAGAAGATGCCAGAAGGGCATAGAGTAAGGATGGCTTTATGATTTATCCATTGCTGGTATCTTCCTCATGCTCAGGTCATTTACCATATTTAAGAAGCAGGTTCTGTCTGACAGATGCCATGGATGAAATGAGGGACAGGGCATCATACTGTGTGTCCAGTTGGTCAATGATGGTGCACAAAGAACTCATCACTTTGGCAACACTTCCTCTTGCCAGTGCAAAGGCCAGCAGAGTCAGTTCTACCTGTGGAGTAGAACAGCAGCTAAAAAGAAAAGAAAAGAAAAAAAACAAACTGTTCACTTACTAAAACTATGAAAACAATTGAAATAGTTCAAGCCCATGTAACATTAGTTCAAGCCAATAAATAAAATTATGCTTTAAACTCAAGGACAGCAATGAGAGGAAGGTAATAATATGAAAGAAAGAAGAACAGCTCACACTAAGTAAAAGGAAAGAAATGTACACATCACCTTATTTGGAAGAAATAGTTGTATTGTCAAAGTTCGTAGAGTTCATAAGCTTTATAGACCATGATAATGACAATTCACCTTGTGATAGTTAAAATGTGTTTGACTTTAGCTAAATATCACTATCCTGCAATACTCCCAAGAAATAAAGGAATTATGCTTAAAATTATTGCCATATGCTTTTTAAAAAAAGAAATACCTTTTGAAAATTCTTTAAATTATATATATCTTTAAAATTTATATATTTATATCTTCAAATGGTTATACAAGAGTTACAATTAACATATATCTTTTTACATGTCGACTGCTTCTTGATCAGACCAAAATCCTTTTTGTAGAAATATGTATTTTGGCCATACTAGGTTTTTTGTTGTTGTTTCTTTGCATTTGTACTGGTAATATGGCTTGAATTAAAAGCCTTGTACTCTTTTTTTTTTGGTCGGGCTTGAACTCTGGGCCTGGGTGCTGTCCCTCAGCTCTTTAGCTCAAGGCAAGCACTCTACCACTTGAGCCACAGTGCCACTTCTGGTTTTCTGGTGGTTTATTGGATATAAGAGTCTCACAGACTTTCCTGTCTAGGCTGGCTTTGAACTGTGATCCTCAGATCTCAGTCTCCCGAGAGCTAGGATTACAGGCATGAGCCACTGGTTCCTGGCAAGCTTTGTACTCTTGCTTAGTTTTTTGCCTAAGGCTAGTGCTTTGCCACTTGAGCCATACCGCCTCTTGAAACTTTTTGCTGGTTAATAAAAATCTCTTGAATATATCTGCCTGGACTGAACCTCAATCCTCAGATATCAATCTCCTGAGTAGCAAGGATTAGGCTTGAACAACCAGTGCCCAATGATACTGGGGTTTTAATTCAGGATCTTGCACTTGCTAGGCAGGTGCTCTACCACTTGAGCTAGGCCTCTAGCACCTATGAGAAAACTAAATTAACTCAGCAAGGGAAGTAGATACACACTTCTGTACAATCTATAAATATAAATGATTCTGGGGCTGGGAAGGTGGCTCAGTGGTAGAGTGCTTGCCTTGCATGCATGAGGCCCTGGGTTCGATTCCTCAGCACCACATAAACAAAAAAGCCAAAGTGGGTGAAGTTAGGTAAACAAAGGAGGAGGCTGCAATGCTTGGTAAGAAATGTATGCATTATCCTGCCCATGTAATTGTAACCCCTCTGTACAGTATGTTCTCAAATAAAATAAAATTAAAAAAAAAATAATCATTATGAAAACAAAACAAAAAAAGCCAAAGTGGTGCTATGGCTCAAGTGGTAGAGTGCTTGCTTTGAGCTGAAGAGCTGAGGGACAGTGCCCAGGCCCAGAGTTCAGGCCCACGACCGACCAAAAAAAATAAAAAAATAAAAAAATGATTCTAAGTTAAAGACAAATGAGCTGCTGCAATCTCTGTTATTAGAAAGTTTTGGTGATAAACTAGTTTAGCCAAGGAGTTGAGGGCATATTTCTCTCTCTTTTTTTTTTTTTGGGTCCGGTCGTGGGGCCTGAACTCTGGGCCTGGGCGCTGTCCCTCAGCTCTTCAGCTCAAGGCTAGCACTCCACCACTTGAGCCACAGCACCACTTCCGGCTTTTTTCCTATTGCTTATGTGGTGCTGAGGAATCGAACCCAGGGCCTCAGGCATGCAAGGCAAGCGCTTCTACCACTGAGCCAACTTCCCAGCCCCGAGGGCATATTTCTTATAAGTATAGAAAATCTGAAATAAATTTTAGATCTGCAACTTTTACACTTTATAAATACATCATACTTTAAATTTTTTTATTGTAAAGGCAATGTACAGAGGGGTTGCAGTTATATGTCAGATATTGAGTATATTTCTTTTTGAAGAGTCACTTCCTCCCTCATTTTCTCCCAACACACTAACTTTTAGGACTATCTGGATACAGACTGGTCTGCTAGTCCTGTATAATATAGTAGGAGTCTTAAGGACACACTGAAAAAATCTGAGTGTCCCAATACTAAGTGCTCCCTTCTGTTAAGCTACTAAGATTACTTAGACAGTCAGGCTATTCGCACTGCATAAAAAGTGAGTGAGAGGCACTGACTAGGAAGGAGGGTAAACAAAGTCATGTATTCTACACTTGGAGATACTTTTAATTGAATTGTAGGCCTAACCTCTTTACCCCTCTGTTTCATGTGTGTGCTAGTACTGGGGCTTAAACTAGGCCTAGAAGTCTCTTTTAGTTTTTTGTTCAAAGCTAGCATCGACCACTTGAGCTTTTTGCTTCCAGTATTTTGTTGGTTAACTAGAGATAAAGAGTCTCACAAACTTTTCTGCCTGGGCTGGCTTCAAACCGCAAGCCTCCTATCTCAGCTTCTCAAGTAGAATAACAAGTGTGAGCCTGTAAGCCACCAGCACTTGGTTCCCCTTAATTTGTGTGTCTGTGTGTGTAGATGTGTGTGTGGATGTGGATGTGTGTGTGGATGTATGTAAGAGACAATAGTAGGGTATCTGTGCTCTCTCTTGGACTTTATTGTTGTTCATGGCTCATACTCTACCACTTGAGCAAGGCCTCCAGTCTAGAATTTTTTCTGGTTAATTGGAGATACAGTTTCAAGCATTTGTCTGCCTGGGAGAGCTTCAAATCTAGATCATCAGTCAGATCTTAGCCTCCTAAGCAGTGAGGGCTATGAACATGAGGACACCAGCACCTGCTTTGCCCTTTCTCTCTCTCTTTTTTTTTTCTTTGCAAGTCCTGGGGCTTGAATTTAGGGCCTGGGCACCATCCCTGAGCTTCTTTTGCTCAAGGCTAGCACTCTATCACTTGAGCCACAATGCCACTTCTCACTTTTTCTGTTTATGTGGTACTGAGGAATTGAGACCAGGGCTTCGTGCATGCTAGGCAAGCACTCTACCACTAAGCCACATTCCCAGCCCTGCCCTCTAATTGTTTTTTTTTTTTTTTTTGGGGGGGGGGAGGTCCGGTCATGGGCCTGAACTCTGGGCCTGGGCACTGTCCCTTAGCTCTTCAGCTCAAGGCTAGCGCTCTACCACTTGAGCCACAGCGCCACTTCTGGCTTTTTTTTTCCTGCTTATGTGGTGCTGAGGAATCGAATCCGGAGCCTCATGCATGCAAGGCAAGCACTCTACCACTGAGACACCTTCCCAGCCCCTCCTGCCCTCTAATTCTTGAGGCTAGGTGATAGTGCTTGGAAATAGTCTCTAGACAGATAAAACTATTACTTTACCTTCTCTTCTGCTCTACCATTTTATTGATGATCTCTCTTTTTTGGAGAGGGGAGATCCAGAGTTTGAACTCATGGCCTCATAGTTGATTGGTTTGCTTGCTCTACAACTTGAGCCAGCACCTGGTTAGTGTCAATCTTTAAAGATTAAATTTTTTCAAAGACCTAATAAGCATACATGCCTTCTACCCTGTCACAGAATTCATCCTATTAGTCTTTTTTGTCCTAGAGATTAAATGCAGGGCTTGAGTGCTATCTCTAAGCTCTTTTGCAAAAAGCTAATGCTTTACCACTTGAGCCACAGCTTTATTCCAGCTTCTTTGGTGGTTAACTGGAGAAGTCTTACAAACTTCCCTGCATGGGAATCAAACCTCCTGAGGAGCTAGAATTACAGGTGTGAGCCACCATCACCTGACTCACTTTTTTTTGGGGGGGGGGGGGGGGATGGTTGTGGGTTTTGAACTCTGGGCCTAGGTGCTGTCCCTCAGCTCTTCAGCTCAAGGCTGGCACCCTATTACTTGAGCCACAGTTCCACTTCCAGTGTTCTGGTAGTTAATTGGAGATAAGAGTCTCTCGGACTTTCTGAACTGCAATCCTCAGACTTTCTGAACTGCAATCCTCAGATCTCAGCCTCCTAAGTATCTAGGATTGCAGGCGTGAGCCATTAGTGCCCAGCATTTTTTTAAACAAGGAATTTCTAAAAAATTTAATACAAAAATATTCAAGTTAGCACAACTGAGTACTAAGATAGGACATTTTAGAAGCATGCAAAGAAAATTTCATCAATCTTGTTTTTACCTAGTTATCCTTATGAGGAAACTGTCCACTTCTTCCAGAACATTGGGAGATAAGAAAGTTGAGAAGTCTGCAGATCCTGGTGAGAGAGAAAGTGGAGGCATATGCTGCAGCGCCTTCCTAGAAAAATAACATGTAAAATCAGAAGGAAGCCTGGCATGACATTAGACAACATACATTGTGTTGGTGAATACCTTAAAAGCAGACAGCATTCCCAGGAGAACCTTGTATACAATATAAGCTAGATATTTTTCTTCAGGAAAATACTATATACTTTCATAGGGCTCCATTTTTTCCCTAAGAGTTCCACTGCCTTCTGTAAAAGCTTTGTCAACTGTCTAGAACTCAGCATTCATTTGAAGTAATGAGGACACAAGACACTAACTCTAAATAAAACTCTAGAATTCTTAGAGAGAATTGATGTTGAGCATTTCTTCATATTCTATTGGTCATTCTTATTTCCTCTTCGGAGAAGTCTCTCTTTAAGTCTTTAGCCATTTATTAATGGGGCAGTTGTTTCTTTGAGGATTTGTTCTGGGTGATTTAATTTTTTGAGTTCTAAGTATATTTTAGATATGAGGCCCTTGTCTGTTGTATGGCTAGTGAAGATCTTCTCCCAATCTGTGAACTTCCTATTGATCTTGCTAGCTATGTCCTTTGCCATGCAGAAGCTCTGCAGTTTCATGCAATCCCATTTGTCCAACCTTTCGATTTTGTTGTGTTTCTGGGTCTTTATTAAGACCTAGTTTCTCCTATTCCTTCCTGTAATTTTTTTCAGGATATCTGCTTTTACCTCAAGGTCTTTGATCCATTTGGAATTGATTCTGGTACAGGGTGATATATAAGGATCTATCTTTAATTTTCTACAGATGACTAACCAGTTTTGCCAATACCATTTACTGAAGAGGCTATCTTTCTTCCATACTATTTTTTTGGCTCCCTTATTGAAGATTAGGTGGCCATAAGTCTGCAGGTTCATTTCTGGGTCTTCAGTTCTATTCCAGTCCTCAGGTCTGTTCTTATGTCAGTATCAAGCTGTTTTGATTATTATAGCTTTGTAATAAGAGTTTGAAGTTTGGTATTATATTCCTCCAACACTGCTAAGGATTGTTTTTGCTATTTGGGGTCTTTTATTATTCCATAGAAATTTTTGGATTGTTTCTATTTCATTGAAGAAGGATGTTGAGATAATGATGGGTATTTCATTGAATCCAAGAGACAGAAGAGCGTGTGGCTCAGTAAGATGTCTATTTTATATAAATAGGTGTCATGAATTTTATTTTACTTTATTTTTTTTGGGTCCAGTCGTGGGGCCTGAACTCTGGGCCTGGACGTTGTCCCTCAGCTCTTCAGCTCAAGGCTAGCACTCTACCACTTGAGCCATAGCACCACTTCCGGCTTTTTGTTTTCTGCTTATGTGGTGCTGAGGAATCAAACCCAGGGCCTCATGCATGCAAGGCAAGCGCTCTACCACTGAGCCAACTTCTCAGCCCCTCATGACTTTTATTGTTTCCTAAACAGATCAGTACTACCACATTCAGCATTCCTGCCTTGTTTCTTGTCCTTTTTATCTTGATGACTGCTTTTTGTTTTATTTTTTGTTTTGCAGTGATGAGGTAGAATCCAAGGCCTTGAAACATGCTATGCAAGCACTCTACCACTGACCTACATCCTTAACATATTAATATGCTTTAATATTTCTCTTCTCTCATCTTTTGCAGTTATTATTTTGAATTTTCCAACAGTGTTGCCTTCTCTGATTAGCGGTCACTTAACAAATTCATGCAATAAATAACTTCTGAGGGCTATTAAATGCAATTTGAAGCCAGCCTAGTAAAAAAAGTGCACAATACTCTATCTCCAAAATAACTAGCAAAAAGCTGGACTGAAGCATGGCACAAATAGTAGAGCACCATCAAAGCAAGCTATTTCAGAGTGCAAGACCATGAGTTCAAGCCCTGGTACTAGACACATATATCAAAAGATATTTTCTAAGAATAAGTCAAAGAACACATAAGCTTGGGGCTGGGAAGGTGGCTCAGTGATAGAGCACTTGCCTTGCATGCCTGAGGCCCTGGTTTGATTCCTTAGCACCACATAAACAAAAAGAAAAAAAGCCAGAAGTGGTGCTGTGGCTCAAGTGGTAGAGTGCTAGCCTTGAGCTAAAGAGCTGAGGGACAGCGCCCAGGCCAAGAGTTCAGGCCCCATGACTGGACCCCCCCCCCCCCCAAAAAAAAAAAAGAACACATAAGCCAGATTGAAGGGGCTATCACCAGCTAAATCTGAAAGTCTGAGTATTAAAATTGTTAACTGAATGCAGTGACTAGGAATCAATTAAATCCTTACTAATAAAATTAGAAATTTAATGATAGAGGATATTCACATAGTCCTAAAGTACCTCCTTAAAAAATACTCAATTGCAAAGGAAAAAGTTATTTTACAGTAGAAAAAGCTGGCAGATAATGTTAGTTAAATGAGCAAAGTTAACATCACTGGCCCCAGAAACAGGATAATCTGAAATTGTGTGCCTTCTGATGGGATGTAATAATAACACAATATCATTATGATATCTGCTAAAAATATAAAATCTAGCAAGTCATAGTAGTGGCATGCCTGTTGAAGACTCAGGAGGTAGAAGAAGGCTTCCTTCTTGATGATGAGTCCAAGGCTAGCCTGGACTGCAAAGCAAAACTTTACTTGAAAAAAAATAATAAAAACCCTAAGTTTTCATGATGAAACAACAGGTATATCAGAATTATAGGTTATTCTTCAAAATAACTTGACCTAGTTTGGCATTGTGGTAAACTTCTCCTACCTAGGGTAGGAGGATCACAAGTAAGACGCTGTCACAAAACAAAACAAATGAAAACTCAAATGACCTATATTTTTCAAAAGTGTCAAGGTTAGCCAGATATCAGTGGCTTTTTTTTTTTTTTTTTTTGGTTGGTTGTGGGGTCTGAACTCTGGGCCTGGGCACTGTCCCTCAGCTCTTCAGCTCAAGGCTAGCGCTCTATCACTTGAGCCACAGTGCCACTTCCAGCTTTTTCTGCTTCTGTGGTACTGAGGAATCAAACCCAGAGCCTCATGCATGCAAGGCAAGCACTCTACTACTGAGCCACCTTCCCAGCCCCTATCAGTGGCTTATACTGTAATCCTAACTACTTAGGAGGCTTGAGATCTGAGAATCAAGGTTTGTGGGTTTTTTGTTGGTTGTGGGGCTTGAACTCTGAGCCTGGGTGCTATCCCTCAGCTCTTCAGCTCAAGGCAAGCACTCTACCACTCTACCACAGTGCCACTTCTGGTTTCCTGAGTGGTTTATTGGAGATGAGAGTCTTAAGAGTTTCCTGCCTGAACTGGCTTTGAACCTTGAGCCTCAGATCTCAGCCTCCTGAGTAGTTAGGATTACAGATGTGAGCACGGATGCCTGGCTAGAATCAAGGTTTAAAGCCAGCTCCAGCAGAAAATTCTGAGAAACTCTATCTCTGATTAACCAGCAAAAATGCTGGTCTGAAAGCATAGCTCAAGTGGTAAAGCACCTGTGTAAACAAAGAAACTAAGCAAGAGTGTGAGGCCCTGAGTATGGGCACTGATGGCTCATGTCTTGCTGTAAATTCTAGTGACTCAAGAAGTTGAGAGCTGAAGATCTAAGTACGGCCCAGTATGAGCACCAAAAAGTGTCAAGGTCTAGGAAAGGCTGAGGAATTGTTTCCAAGTTAAGGAAACTGAAGATATAACAATGTAATGCGAATTATGACTCTGGACTGGATCCTTTGCTACAAAGGACATTATTGGGATGATTTGTAAAACCTGAGTGGGGTCTGAGGATTAGATGGCAGCAATGTATACTAGTGGTTAATTTCCTGATCTTGATGGTTGCTAGAAAATATTGTTTGTAGGATGTACACACTGAAGTGTTTAGGGACACTGGGGTATCAAGCTAGTAAATTGCCCTCAAATGACTGAAAAAGAAATAAGAATTCCCTGTGTTATACTTGCCATGTTTCTCTGAGTTTAAAATGGTTTAGGAAAGAAGAAAGGGTCATGGTCAACTCTTACTCTTCAGATATGGCAATTGCAAGACTAACAGAATTATTTGCTGAAAGTTTTATTTAATAGTGCTAGCTGCCAGGCACTGGTGGCTCATGCTTATAATCCTAGCTACTCAGAAGGCTGAGGTCTAAGAATCATGGTTTGAAGCTAGCCTGGGCCCAAGTCCGTGAAACTCTTATCTCCAATTAACCACCAATAGGTGGAGCCATAGTTCAGAACCCAGGCCTTGAGTTCAAGCCTAAGGATCAGCACCAAAAACAAAAACTGAGAGGGGAGGGGAGGGGAGAGAGAAAGGAGGGGGGGAGAGGAGGGAGGGGAAAGAGAGAGAGAGAAAGAATAGTGCCAACTAAGATTAAAAGATGGCAAAAAAAAAAAAAAAGGCTAAACACTGGCAATTTACTTTTAGCTAATACTTTGACATTCTATTAGCTGGGCACTGGTAGCTCATGTCTATAATCTTGGTTACTCAGGAGACTAATATTGGAGGATAACAGTCCCAAGCCGGCCTTGGTAGGAAAGTCTGTGAGATTCTTATCTCAAACTAACCACCAAAAAAGCCAGAAGTAGAACTGTGGCTCAAGTGGTAGAGTGCTAACCTTGAGCCAGAACACTCAGAACAGTACCCAGGCCCTGAGTTCAAGCTCCAGGACTGGAATATTTTAAAAAAAATAGTGCCTATTAATCAGTTTTTTTGTTTTGTTTCGTCAGTCATGGGCCTTGAACTCTGGGCCTGGGCACTGCCCCTCAGCTCTTCAGCTCAAGGCTAGTGCTCTACCACTTGAGCTACAGCACCACTTCTGGTTTTTTTGATGGTTTATTAGAAATATGAGTCTCACGGACTTTGCCTGGGCTAGCTTTGAACCGTGATCCTCAGATCTTAGCCTCCTTAGTACCTAGGATTATAGGAGTGAGCCACCGGCCCCCAGCGTATTAATCGGCTTTGAACCTACCTACAACACTAACATTACTATTAAAGTTGCCTGTTTTTGTTGTTTGTCACTTTTTAGAATTTTTTTTTCTTTTGGCCAGTCCTAGGGCTTGATCTCAGGGCCTGAGCACTATCCCTGAGATTCTTTTTTTTTTGTCAGTGCTGTGGCCTGAACTCTGGGCCTGGACACTGCCCCTTAGTTTTTCAGCTCAAGGCTAGTGCTCTACCACTTGAGCCACAGTGCCACTTCTGGCTTTTTCTGCTTATGTGGTGCTGAGGAATCGAACCTAGGGCCTCACGCATGCAAGCAAGCACTCTACCACTGAGCCACCTTCCCAGCTCCTCCCTGAGATTCTTTTGCTCAAAGCTAGCACACTACCACTTGAGGCACAGTGCCACTTCGGCTTTTTCTGTTTATGTGATACTGAGAATAGAACCCAGAGCACTTCATGTATGCTTAGCTACTACTAAGTCACATTCCTTGCCCTTCTTGGAATTTCTGCCCTATCAGTTTGTGGGTGGTTGTTTCGTGTGTGTGTGTGTGTGTGTGTGTGTGTGTGTGTGTGTGTGTGTGTGTGCGCGCGCACGCGCGCGCGTGTGTGTGTGTACACGTATGTGTGTGCATGTGCGTGCACACGCCCACCAATCCCAGAGCTGAAACTCAGGGCCTGAGTGCTGTCTCAAAGGGTTTTTTGTTGTTGTTTTTGGTCAAGGCTAGTGTTTTACTATTTGAGCCCCACTTCAAGCTTTTTGGTGGTTAATTAGAGATAAGAATTCACAGAAGCTAGTTCATGTCTATAATCCTAGGTACTCAGGAGGCTAAGATCTAAGGATGGCAGTTCAAAGCCAATCGGGCAGGAAAGTCCATGAGACTTTTATCTCCAATAATTACTCAGAAAAAGCTGGAAACAGTCCTGTGGCTCAAGTGATAGAGTACTTGCCTTAAGCAAAAGAAACTCAAGGACAGTCCCCAGACCCAGAGTTTAAGCCCCAGGACCAGAAAAAAAAAAAAAAAAAGAGTTCATAGGGTTTCCTGTCTAAGCTGTCTTCGAACAGCAATCCTCAGATCTCAGAATTACAGATCTAGAATTACAGGTGTGAGCCACTAATGCCCACCATTTTTATTTTATTTGCTAGCCAGTACTTTACTTGGAAGCACCAGAATTTGAATGCAGGGCCTTATGCTCACTTGGCAGGTACTCTGCCATTTGAGCCATACTCTAAAATTTTCAGAGGAGCACTACATTCAAAATTCAGCATCTTTGAAAGATTTCATTCGTTACTTAAAGAGCTCTAAACTTGGGAGTCCAAACACATAGATTCAAACTGATCTACACTGCTTACTTGTGAAACTTCAGGGAAGGTCACTATAAAATGAGGATTTGTTTTATAGAAACATTTTAGTGTCAGTAGGTAAAAAAACCTGTTTGACCTGATATTGAAAATGTCCTACTTAATATTAACTGTTATATAAACTCAAACAATTGTCCCCAATGGGTAAGAACAGGTACAAAATGGTGATCTCACAAGACTGGAACACTTGATGAACAGATGAAGAAAGGCACTGGAGAAACTCAAGAATGGGGGGAAAGAATGTGGAATGAGCACTTCTTCAAAGTCTACAAAGTCAGAACATCAATCAAAGGAGCATTGTGGAGCTGAAAACTGCAATCAAAACAGCAGGTCTATGGACTACACTGTTGAATGAGCTTGGAAGAAGGAAGACTTCTGGAGGATTACAGAAGAGTATATGTACCTTGACGAAGTGGAAAACAAGAGTGACTTACTGGGTATTATGCAGCACTGTCTGGACAAATGCAGGGTTTGTCTCCATTGAAGCTGTCACCAGAGATGTCAACAGAGACCAATACCATATTGCAGAGGCATCTGAGACTGAGACTCCAGACTTTTTAACTCTCTGAAAGCCAACAGCCCTCAGACCATGAATTCTAGTATCACATCCATCGCTAAGACAACGTTTTATGTTAATCTGGACATCTGTTAAGAACAAACAACAAGTTTAGTATTGGGTTAACATTTTTAGTTTAAGTGTGTGTGTGTGTGTGTGTGTGTGTGTTAACATTTTTAGTTTAAGTGTGTGTGTGTGTGTGTGTGTGTGTATTGGTGCTTGAACTCAGGGCCTCACACTCACACTTGACTTTTTTTGCTCACAGCTGATACTCTACCACTTGAATCACACCTCTAGTTCCACCTTTTTGCTGGTTAAGTAGATATAAGAGTTTCTCAGATTTGCCTGCCCAGGTAGCTTCATACTTAGATCTTCAGCTCTCAACTTCTTGAGTCAGTAGGATTTACAGCAAGGAATGAGCCATCAGTGCCCAGCTTTGGATTAACTTTGTAGCTCAGTATATGAACTAAAAACAAAATAGCAATTGCTATTTTGAAAAGAAAATTCATAAGCTGTGCTTTGATGACACACAATCAATGTGTGCAATGGAATTAGTATAAAATGAATTTATCACAAAACATTGACAATTCTAAAAAATAATATGCAAAATTAAGGGTAGCTTATCTTAAAACTGCTTTGAAACCATAAACCAGGAAAATTACATGGAGCACATTATATAAACCTCCACTTGTGAGAGTACTTATAGAGTTCCTACAGTTTGAAATTTGGATGAAATTATAAAACAGAAGCTTACTCAGTGTGAGGCCCTGAGTTTAATGAGTTCAATCTTCAAATCCACCAAAAATAAAATAAAAACATTGGCCAGATGTTTTGTAAAATGTACTCAGTTTGACTTGGTATAATTTTTTTTCAAGATTATATTGATACTACTGATTTGGGGAACAGGACAACAGAGATACAGTCACTATCATATCATGCTGAGAGTATATGTTCTTTACCTGACAATAGATAGCATTTACCTGGGTCATCTGAGTGAAGTAATACATTGTTTTGGGCCTTTTTCTTTTATCCCTGGAAAGCTATTCATAAATACAAATGCTGATGGCTATATTGAATGTGTGTTTGAATGTATATTCATATATGTAATTATGTATACAAGTATCTATCATATGTATATGTGCATTTTGCTTAATATGTAATCATGGAAATTATGTTACAAAATCATATATAGAAAGGAGAAGTATCATTCTCAATAGATAGTGCATTCTATTGTATAGATGAACTATTTTTAGCCAAACTTAACTGAACAAAATTAGCTTGTTTGTAGTTGTTGGCTTTTACAATCAATGGATATCTGTATATACCAAGAAGCAGGAAAAAACACAATTTATAAAATGAATTTTGAAACTTGAAAAAAAAACCCAAAACAGTAGCTTGTTCATAAGCAGCTATGAGAATGTTTTTTAATAATTAACTCAAAGCAGATAAAACAAACAAGATTAACTTTTAGGAGCTGCCACAATTTCTTATTTGGTTGAAAAAAAAAGGAAGCAACAAGCCAGGCACCGGTGGCTCACCCCTGTAATCCTAGGTACTCAAGAGGCTGAGATCTGAGGATCAGAGTTCAAAGCCAGTCCAGGCAGGAAAGTCTGTGACACTCTTATCTCCAATTAACCACCAGAAAACAGGAAGTGGTGCTGTGGCTCAAGTGGTAGAGTACTCGCCTTGAGCTGAAGAGCTCAGGGACAGCATCCAGGCCCAGAGTTCAAACCCCAAGCCTGACCAAAAAAAAAAAAAAAAAAAAGGCAACAAGTTTAAAAGAATACAACTTAGAGAAAAGAGTACCACAGTATGAGACAGGAAGCTTTTACTCCATAGGCTTAACTATTTCTTTGCCTAGACATCAAAACACTAACTCCCTAGGCCTCAGTTCCTTTAAGCAAAGAAAGAATAGTTTTTTGACTCAGAAAAACATTAGAAGAAATGAAGCAAAATATGAAACATTACAATTCCCTGAAACAAGGAAAGATATTAAACTTGCAATTATTCCAAAATACTATGTAGGAAGCAAGTAAATGTCCAGGAATATATGGCAGGTTAAAATTAAAACGCATTTGGGGCTGGGAAGGTGGCTCAATGGTAAAGCGCTTGCCTTGCATGCATGAGGCCCTGGGTTTGATTCCTCAGCACCACATAAGCAGGAAAAAAAAAGCCGGAAGTGGTGCTATGGCTCAAGTGGTAGCATGCTAGCCTTGAGCTGAAGAGCTGAGGGACAGCGCCCAGGCCCAGAGTTCAGGCCCCAGGACCAGACCCCCCCAAAAAAAATTAAAACGCATTTTTACCACATCAAAAAAAGGTGTTGATGAAATTATAGTATAAGAACACATTTACGAAATATATATATAAAAGCCAGACATCGGTGATTCATACTTGTAATCCTAGCTACTCAGGAGGCTGAGATCTGAGGATCATGGTTCAAAGCCAGCCTGGGCAGGAAAGTCTGTGAAACTCTTATCTCTAATAAAATACTCATAAAAAGCCAGAAGTAGCACTGTGACTCAAGAGGTAGAGCACTAGTCTTGAGCAAAAAGAAGCTCTGGGACAGTACCCAGGCCCAGAGTTCAAACCCCAGGACCAGAAAGAAAAATAAACATATTATATTATATGAGTACTTCTGGGATGAAAGCATGGCTGCTGAATGTTGGTGGCTCACACCTGAATCTCAGCCACTCAGGATTTGAGCTCTAAGGATCACAGCTCGAAGCTAGCCTAGGCAGAAAAGTACAAGATTCTTATCTCCAATTAATCACCAAAAGCTAAAAGCAAAGCTGTGGCTCAAGTGGCACAGCACCAGCAAAAAAGCTCAGGGACACTGCCCTGGTCCTGAGTTCAAGTCCCAGTATCAGTGTTAAAAACACACACATACACACACACATACACATATATACATACACGTGTATGTGTGTGTGCCTATGAGCTGGAAGTGAGGTACAAGTGGCTGAGTGCCTGCTTAGAAAGCATGAGGCCCTGAGTTCAAATTCCAGTACCACAAACAATACAGAATACTAATTATTAATGTAAAAAGATGCTTGCATATACACATACTATACACACACACACACACACACACACACACACACGGGGAAAGAAAGAGAGGGAGAAAGAGAAAGAGAACAGAGTGCCTGGGATAAGTAAAAAAGCCAAGCAAGAACATGAGTTCAAGCCCTACTACTGCCACTAAAACAATATTAACAAGAATAAAACAAAATTAAGTAGGTTTGTGGGTGTACATATATATGTGAATATATATATACATATATGTGTGTGTGTATGTACACACACACACACACACACACACACACACACACACAGTTACAGTCCCCGAGTGGTAGGATTTTGAGTATTTTTGTCAGTTTTTTTCCCTCATTTTCCTATAAGAAAATAATAACGTATAAAGCCTTTGCTTAGTTAAAACATTTACAAACGTTAAATACATGAAGTAAGGACTACTTTTGTATGCCTCATGAGAAGCAAATTGAATCTCAGAAGAAATTTCCAGAGGTTTTGCTGCTAAAAAATATCCTTTCCCTTCCGCATCTCCTTCATTTTGTTTGACTCACAGAGCTGGCTGATGTTGGCATTTTCCAACAAGGTCACGTAGCCAGTCACATTGCTGGGGATGTGCACATCTCGGACTTCTTGGAGATCACTAGCACTCCTTCCCACGGCTATTGTCACTTGCTGTGGCATGTAGCTCTGGTCAGAGGCAGCCACTGCAATGGACAAGTGCCTAAGTACCACATCTGGCTTCATTTTTAACCTGTAAAACAGGGTAGAAATCATAAATGTTTATATGGATCAAGCATTCATAGGGTCTACAAGATTCATCTGGAAGACAGTACATTTGGTATATCTATAAAGACTACTCTCCTAACAGCAATAAACATGAAATGCTAACTATGGATTTCAAATTCTGTATAACCTTCCAAAGTCTCTTTAAAAAAAAAAAACCTTTCAATACAAAATTGATCTTAAATTTCCTTTTAGGCTTTTAGCAAAGACAGGAAGGAACAATATGGATATTTTAATAAAACCCCTATACCTAGCAAGAAGCAAATTCTAAACTGTATTTAAAATAACTGCGTAAAGCCGGGCACCAGTGGCTCATATCTGTAATCCTAGCTACCCAGAAGGCTGAGATATGAGGATTGAGGTTCCAAGTCAGCCCTGGAAGAAAGTCCATGGGACTCTTATCCCCAATAACCACCAGAAAACCGGAAGTGGTGCTGTGGCTCAAGTAGTAGAGCTCTAGCCTTGAGCTAAAGAGCTCAGGGACAGTGCCCAGGCCCAGAGTTCAAGCCCCACTATGACAAAAACAAAAAACCAAAACAAACAAAAAAACCTGCATAAATCTCATCTATAAATTAAAGATAAAGGTCACATGTTTCTACTATGAAAAAGAATTATTCTATTTCAGCTAGCTGAAATTAACCCATTTTCTGAGGAGACTAGTAAAAATTCAGATAGCAGCTACAGAACTTATAGAAATACCATAGTTTACTGTCATCAATTGCATTCCAGAATTTATGACTATCCCTCTTCTAAACTATCTTATTCACAGGGGGCTTTTTAAATGTACAGGAAAGGGGGCTGGGAAGTTGGCTCAGTGGTAGAGTGCTTGCCTTGCATGCTTAAGGCCCTGGGTTCGATTCCTCAGCAGAAAAAAAAAGCCAGAAGTGGCGCTGTGGCTCAAGTGGTAGAGTGCTAGCCTGGAGCTGAAGAGCTGAGGGACAGCACCCAGGCCAAGAGTTCAGGCCCCAAGGACCCAAAAAAAAATAAAATAAAATAAAAATAAAATAAATGTACAGGAAAGAGCTTAAAATTACCATCACTGATGGAGGAAAAAAGCATAAAGCCCTGAGTTCAAATCCCAGTACTGTCAAAAAAAAAAACTTTTCCTGAGAAACTAGTTAAAAGGATCTAAAATCACAGGGAAATAGATGGACCTAGAACAGATCTTGTTAAGTGAGGTAAGCCAAGCTCAAAGACACAAAGGCTCTTGTTTTCTCTCATATGTAGGAACTATATCTAAAATTATACAGGATTCTAAGCATTAACACACGAGACCAAAGGAGAAAAACACAAAGGCATGATGACTATGTGCATATGATCATATAAAGTAATATTTGTCTAAATGAGCTCCAGGAAATGGAACAAGAGGTTTTTTTTCTTGGTTGCTGTTTTTGTTTTCTTTTTGTCTTGTTTATTTGTCTATCTGCCTTTGGGAGGGTAAGGGGAGGCACACAAATGGAGGGACAAAGAATGTACAAATGTAGCAGTGGTACTTGCTAGACATCATGTTGAAAATGAACTATACAATTTGTGTGTGGGTACGGATGGGAAAAACTTGGAAAGTATGAGGGAATGCATGACACTGTCCAAAAATAAATATACTCTTTACCTGACTTAGGGGACTACAACTCCTCGGTATATCATCAATTTAAAAACTTTTAAAGTCATACTATGAAAAAGTAATTATAAATTTATAAAACCTAGTTTTGCATGAACTGATTTACATGATTCCTTTTACTTGATTCAAAAAGCATCTCTCAGCCACTCAGGAAAAAAATAATCAAGTAGAAAACATTCCAAAATTACATAAAAGGGAATAAAAGGGCTGGGAAGGTGGCTCAGTGGTAGAGTGCTTGCCTTGCATGCATGAGGCCCTGGGTTCAATTCCTCAGCACCACATAAGCAGAAAAAATCGGAAGTGACCCTGTGGCTCAAAGGGCTGGGAAGGTGGCTCAGTGGTAGAGCGCTAGCCTTGAGCTGAAGAGCTGAGGGACAGCGCCCAGGCCCAGAGTACAGGCCCCACCACCCACAAAAAAAAAAAAAAAGAGAGAATAAAACATATTGTACCACCCACCGAATCCAGTGTGAACGTGCACTACCATCTGACTGCCAGTAGGATGATGTTTCTCCATTTGTCATCTTGTCAATATCTGCAGGGTTGGAGGATGTCTCTATATAAGCATAGCATTTTGTTACTGACTTGAGTTTATCCATCTCAGGGCTTCTGGTTAACTCTCCAGGGTTTTCTGTAAGGAAAATGAGTTTATTATATGACATCTTTTACCAAGGGAAAAAAAAAGACAGTCATTTGTCCTATATGCCTGTAATCCTAGCCACTCAGAAGGCTAAAACCTGGAGAATCATGTTTGGATGCCAACGTAGGCAGAAAAGTATTCAAGACACCATTTCCAGTAAACCAGAAAAAAAGCTGGACAGGATGTGTAACTCAGGTGGAGTTACAGCCAAGTGAACAGCAATTGCTAGGCTCCTGACTTCAAGCCCCAATACTGGCCATTAAAAAAGGGAAGAGGGCTGGGAAGTTGGCTCAGTGGTAGAGCACTTGCCTTGCATGCCTGAGGCCCTGGGTTCAATTCCTCAGCACCACATAAGCAAAAAGAAAAAACCCGGAAGTGACGCTGTGACTCAAGTGGTAGAGCGCTAGCCTTGAGCTGAAGAGCTGAAGGACAGTGCCTAGGCCCAGAGTTCAGGCCCCACGACCGGACCCAAAAATAAATTAATTAATTAATTAAATAAATAAATAAAAAATAAAAAAAGGAAGAAAACAAAAAGCTGGGCACAGATGGCTCATGCCTAGGAGGCTAAGTAAGATGTGAGGATTGACGTTTGAAGCCAATCCAGGAAGAAAATTCCTTGAGATTCTTATCTCTAATTACTCACACACACAAAAAAAACAAAGTGAAGCTGTGACTCAGGTGGTAGAGCAAATGAAGCTCAAGGGCAGCATCTAGACTCTGAGGTTAAGCCCCAGGATTGGCACCGAGAGAGAGAGAGAGAGAGAGAGAGAGAGACAGAGAGACAGACAGACAGACAGACAGGCAGGCAGACAGACAGAGAGACAGAGACAGAGAGAGAGACAGAGAGAGAGAGACAGAGACAGACACAGAGAGATAGAGACAGACACAGAGAGAGACAGAGAGAGAAAGAGAGAGAATATGAATAAGAGTCATTTAAAACATCTAAAAAGCCAGGCACTGGTGTCTCACACCTGTAATCCTAGCTACTCAGGAGGCTGAGATCTGAGAATCACGGTTCAAAGCCAGTCTGGGCAGGAAAGTCTGTGAGACTCTTATCTCCAATTAACCACCAGAAAACCGGAAGTGGAGGCTCAAGTGCTGGAGCACTGGCCTTGAGCTGAAGAGCTGAGGGACAGCGCCCAGGTCCAGAGTTCAAGCCTCACAACCAATAACAACAACAAAAATAATAATAATAAAATAAAATATCTAACACATATGCTTAGTACTTTGGCACCAGTAAGGAGCTCATGGTCACCAGTCATTATCTCAGTATAGTGAAATACTTAAAATCATTGATATATTTGTAAAACCATGCAAAGAAAAATGTGTCTCATACTTTGAGTTGACATTCAAATTATGAGGCTTTTTTTTTTTTTAATCGGTTGTGGGGCTTGAACTCTGGGCCTGGGCACAGTCCCTGTACTCTTCCACTTGAGCCAAAGTGCCACTTCTGATTTTCTAGTGGTTTATTGGAGATAAGAGTGTCTCAAACTTTCCTGCCTGGGTTGGCTTTGAACTGTGATCCTCAGATCTCAGCCTCCTGAGTAGTGAGGATTATAGGCGTGAGCCAATGGTGCCTGGCAATTATGAGGCTTTTTATGAGTATTCTGTCTTTACTCTCTCCCATTTTTTCTGGGTTACTAGTCTTTTCTTTTCTTTTCTTTTTTTTTTGGGTCCAGTCGTGGGGCCTGAACTCTGGGCCTGGGCACTGTCACTCAGCTCTTCAGTTCAAGGCTAGCACTCTACCACTTGAGCCACAGCGCCACTTCTGGCTTTTTTCTTTTTGCTTATGTGGTGCTGAGGAATCGAACCCAGGGCCTCAGGCATGCAAGGCAAGCGTCTACCACTGAGCCATCTTCCCAGCCTCTAGTCTTTTTTTTTTTAAATTCCTATCTTTAATATATACTGTATGATACACACACACACACACACACATATAAAATGTGCTATACATGTACACACTTAATAGCTAATATTTTCTTCAGAGTTTACCATAGGTCAATCACTTTTTTTTTTCTTTTTTTGGTCGGTCATGGGGCTTGAACTCTGGGCCTGGGCACTGTCCCTCAGCTCTTCAGCTCAAGGCTAGCACTCTACCACTTGAGCACAGAACCACTTCTGTTTTTCTGAGTGGTTTATTGGAGATAAGAGTCTCATGGTTGGCTGGGAAGGTGGCTCAGTGGTAGAGCGCTTGCCTGGCATGCTTGAGGCCCTGGGTTCAATTCCTCAGCACCACATAAGCAGAAAAAAAAAGTCGTAAGTGGCGCTGTGGCTCAAGTGGTAGAGTGCTAGCCTTGAGCTGAAGAGCTGAGGGACGGAGCACAGGCCCAGAGTTGAGGCCGCAAGACTGGACCACAAAAAAAAAAAAAAAAAAAAAGAGTCTCATGGTTTTTCCTGCCAGGGCTGGCTTTGAATTTTAATCCTCAGATCTCAGCTTCCTGAGTAGCTAGGATTACAGGCGTGAGCAACTGGCGCCCGGCAGACAGGCACTTTTCTATGCATTCTTTATATATTAATTCATTTTTTAAATGATGAAACGAAGAAAGTTAAAATTGCCTAAGAAGGGGATTACTAAAAAGTATAATCTAAAGAACCATTAATATGATACAAAACATATTTTGTTCCCTGGAATGTCATTTTTACTTTGATTCCGCTGGTATTTTTTGCTTTAAAAAGGTTTAAACTGGGGGCTGGGAAGATGGCTCAGTGGTAACGTGCTTGCCTTGCATGCTCAAGGCCCTGGGTTCAATTCCTCAGCACCACATAAGCAAAAAGAAAAAAGCCGGAAGTGGCACTGTGGCTCAAGTGGTAGAGCGCTAGCGTTGAGCTGAAAAGCTCAGGGACTGTCCAGGCCCAGAATTCAGACCCCACGACCGGACTCAAAAAAAAAAAAAAAAAGTTTAACTGGGGCTGGGAATGTGGCTTAGTGGTAGAGTGTTTCCCTAGCATGCTTGAAGCCCTGGGTTCAATTCCTCAGTACCACATAAATAAAAAAAGATGGAAGTGATGCTATGGCTTACATGACAGTGTGCTAGCCTTGAGCAAAAGAAGCTCAGGGATAGTGTCCAGGCCCTGAGTTCAAGCCCCAGGACTGGAAAAAAAAAAAAAAAGCTTTAAACTGCCAGGTGCTGGTGGCTCATGTCTGTAATTCTAGTTACTCAGGAGGCTAAAATCTGAAGATTGTGCTCTGAAGCCAGCCCTGGCAGGAAAGTCAATGAGACTCTTATCTCTAATTAATCACAGAAAAATGGGAAGTGGTGCTGATAACCGAAGTGGTAGAGTGCTAGGAACTCAGGGACAATGCCTAAATCCAAGTTCAAGCTCCAGGACTGGCCAAAAAAACAAAAAAACAAAAAACTTCAAACTTTCATATACCCTAAAAGGTATCAATCATTTCTCTTGATTCTGGTTTTCACAGCTTGCTTAAAAAGAGTGTCCCATATTTTATGACATGACACTATTTTCTTTGTTTTATTTACAAATTTCAGCAAGGCCGGGCGCTGGTGGCTCACGCCTGTAATCCTAGCTACTCAGGAGGCTGAGATCTGAGGATCGCGGTTCAAAGCCAGCCCGGGCAGGTCTGGGCAGGAGAGACCGTGAGACTCCTATCTCCAATAAACCACCAGAAAACCGGAAGTGGCGCTGTAGCTCAAGTGGTAGAGCACTCACCTTGAGCTGAAGAGCTGAGGGACAGTGCCCAGGCCCAGAGTTCAAGCCCCACGACCCACCAAAAAAAAAAAAAAAAAAATTTTTCAGCAAGAAGGGGCTGGGAAGGTGGCTCAGTGGTAGAGGGCTTGCCTTGCATGCCTGAGGCCTTGGGTTTGATTCCTCAGCACCACATAAGCAAAAAGAAAAAAAGCCGGAAGTGGTGCTGTGGCTCAAGTGGTAGAGCGCTAGCCTTGAGCTGAAGAGCTGAGGGACAGCGCCCAGGCCCAGAGTTCATGCCCCATGATCTGACCCAAAAAAAAAAATTTTTTTCAGCAAGAAGCCAGGTGCTGGTGACTCATGCTTGTAATCCTAACTACTCAGGAGGCTGAGATCTGAGGATTGCAATTCAAAGCCAGCCCAGGCAGGAAAGGCCATGAGATGCATCTCCAATTAAACACCAGAAAACTGGAAGTGGCACTATGGCTCAAGTAGTAGAGCACTAGTCTTGAGCTGAAGAGCTGAGGGACAGTGCCCAGGTCCAGAGTTCAAGCCCTATGACTAACCAAAAAAAATATTTTTTTTTTTCAGCAAGAATTGATTTTAGTATGACAAGAGTTGAAGAAGAAAGAAATAGAAAAAGAGAGGGAAGTACTTTCTGCCTTTTTTTTCTTTGCAGGAAACAGAAGTTTAAGATTCTATTTTCTTTTCTTTTTTTGATGTAGTTTTTTTTTTAGTGGTACTAGGAGAGTGAATTAAGGACCATGTACCTCTAGAAAAGCACTCTACCATTTGAGCCATGCAGTTAAGTTCTAAAATGTAATTATTTCCTTTTAGTATTCTTTTTTTTTTTTTTTTGGTCAGTCCATAGGACTTGAATTCTGGGCCTGGGCACTGTCCCTGAGCTCTCTTCCTCAAGGCTAGGACTCTACTACTTTAAGCCACAGCATTACTTCTGGTTTTCTGGTGTTTAGAGATAAAGAGTCTCACAGACTTTGCTGCCTGGGTTGGCTTTGAACCACAATTTTCAGATTTCAGTCTCCTGAGTAGCTAGGATTATAGATGTGAGGCACCAGCTCCTGGCTTCTTTTAGTATCCTTATCTTTTCCTTTGTAGTTGAACTTTTGATCTATAAAATTTTAGTGACTGGAATAGAATAAGAATCTAGTCTTATTTTTCTCCAACCCAATTTCTTGACAATTCACCTTTATATGCTTTCTCTGGTTCTATAATTCCATGTGTACTTGAATCTAATTTGGGACTCTATTATGTTCCACATAGCATCGATTTCTGTTCCCAAAATTAAGTGAATCTGTAGTGGCATTCCTCATTTATTCAAAAAATAGTATGTGATAAACCTATTCCCAGGTGCTAAGGGTAAGAATGCAAACAATATAAATAAAATACAAGTAAAGAAATAATGCTATGACTTCAGATATTAAACTTGTAAAGGTAATAGTCACCAGTAGGGAGTGAGGGAATGGAGGAAGAAGGCATTAATAAGGTAGAGTACATAGGAAAGGCATTCCTTGAAGTCACATCTGAGTAAAGAAGTGAATGATGAGAAACTAAAACTAGCTGCCTCATATAGGAAGGAAAAGAAGGAAGGACAGACTGTAAACTAGTTATATTTATATTTTCAGAAATAAGGGCAAGAAGTAGATCACCCTATTATTAAACACTAGGTTTAGAAAAAAACATACCCTTCTCCTTTTGTACTAGTTGATCCAGAGACTCCTTCAGGACTGAGGACCGCATGGTACACATGTTATTGCAGTGGTCCAACATTGGATAGGGAATTACCATGCTAGAGATTCGATTGCGATGCAGGAAGCGCAGTATCATTGATGAGTGAACACCAAGACCCTCCTTTGACTCTGAAAATATGTCTATGAAACCTAAAGAGACAAAATATATTTTGGCAAAGTTTTTGGAAAAGCCATCACAACAGTTTCCACATTCTCTATCTGATGGTCCATCTTAATAGGCTTGTTTGAAAGCAGTCATTAATTGTTGTTGTTTTGTATTTTTATCTTTAATCTGTTAAAAAAAAAAACTAAATAAGCTGTTTTATTTCAGTGATAGAGATTAAGCCCTGAGCCTTGTATGTTAGGCAAGTGCTCGTCTTCAAATAAAACCTAAATAAGTTTCAAAGAAATGAGCCAGTAACAATGTCAATTCAATAATTCATTTCAGTTGAACAGAATTTTGAAACATTCAGAACCATGTTTTGTCCAAACTTTAAAAACTTAAAGGACTTAAAAACTAACCAGAAGGTTTTTTGTTGTTGCTGCTGTTGTTTTTTTCTTCATCATCTTTTTCATTTTGGCAGAGCTGAGGGTTGAGTTCAGGGCCTTGTGAGTTAAATCCCCAACCAACTGTTTGTTTTTCTTGAGCCATAGTCTTATAGGCAGCACACATTAGTCTAAATAGGGTACTGGAGGTGTATTTTTTTTTTAATGGAGGGGGAGAGGGCAGAACAATTTGAACTTAGAGTCTCATGCTTGCTAGGTAGTCTCCCTACTACTTGAGCCACACCCCTAATTCTTTTTCACTTTATTCTTCAGGTAGGAGCTTGTTTTTGGCCTAGGGATGGTGTCAGATTTCAATACTCCTACCCATGGTCTCTTGTATAGCTAGGATAAAAGATATGTGCCACCAGATGATATGCTATTAGGGACAAACCAAAGTGTCAACAAGAAATAGGTAGGACAGGGACTAGACCCTTACATTCCCACTTGGATCCTTCCACCATTCCAGGTCCTTCTTTCCAGGTTACTTCTCTGGAGCCTGCCTCTCTGTTTACAGTTCCTCATGGATGGCTTTTTTATTCTTATGTAAATTTTATAGTAATAGCTTTCTTAAAAAAAATAATAAAATGCTTACATGACAAAAAGATAAAAATATGTCAAATGTGAAGACACAGCAGAAATAAGAAAGTCCCTACCTCCTGGAGCCCACAGTCCAGGAGTAAAGACAACCATTTAGCACACAGTTCATTGATTAACCATACTGGTAAAATGTTGGGGGCAGGGGTGGAGGGGAAGAAAGACACTTAAGAGAACATACAATAGGGGCCAGAGATAGCTTCTGACTAGAGTAGATATATGGAGATCCATTAAGGAAGGCAACTTTCTGACAAAAAGCCAAGCATTCACTATAGTAAGGAACAAAAGAGATAACCACATGGAATGTTAGTTTAGATCATATGCCCAATGAAGGCTGGAAGGTGGGGGAGGTTATTACTTCATGGTGATATAAGCTAACCTAATTTCAATTTAGATCATATGCCCAATGAAGGCTGGAAGGTGGGGGAGGTTATTACTTTATGGTGATATAAGCTAACCTAATTTCAATCCACAGTAGAACAAAGTTATTGTTAATTTAAATTTTGAATTGGCATACATTAATAATACAAGGGAGTTTTCTTTGTGATAATTCTATGGATGTGTACAGTATACTCTGAGCAAGTTCACTCCCCATCTCCACCCAATTATTGAGACTTGAATTCACTTGGCTTGCTTGCTCAAGGCTGGCACTCTACTACTTAAGCCACACCTTCAATAGGACTCTGTTGGTTAATTGGAGATAGAGACTTTTTTCCATTTAGACTGGCTTTAAACCACAAACCTCCATATATTAGCCTCCAGATAGCTAGTATTACAGGTGTGAGCTACTGGTGCCTAGCTCTATGCTCTCCCTTCTTTCACAAAGCTTAGTAGTTTCATCATGATGCTTTCACATATAAATATGTACATATATATATATATATATATATATATATATAATATGCTTCAATATTCTTATTTTTTTTTTTGGTCGGTCATGGGGCTTGAACTCTGGGCTTGGGCACTGTCCTTGCACTCTTCAGCTCAAGGTGAGTGCTCTACCACTTGAGCCACAGTGCCACTTCCAGTTTTCTAGTGGTTTATTGGAGATAAGAATCTCAGGGACTTTCCTGCCTGGGCTGGCTTTGAACCACGATCCTCAGATCTCAGCCTCTTCAGGAGCTAGAATTACAGGTGGGAGCTACCAGCGACCAGCTACTTCAATATTCTTCACTCCTCGGTATCCTTTCTTTTCCCCCATGCCTTTCACACCGATTCTTGCTCTCTAAGCAGTTTCCCTTTTATATTCACATTCTATTATTGTTATCATCATCATTTTAGCTCTAGACTCCAGAAATGAGTGATATACTTGGCTTTTTCAGCTTGGCTTATCTTGCTCAATATGAGGCTTTTCAGTTCTATTTTCCTGCAAATGACAAAATTTTATTTCTCTTTATGGTTGAGTAATATCCTCCATGAAGAAAGAGAATGAATCATATTTTTTTTTATCATTCATTGTTTTGGGACACCTCGGCCAATTCTATAGTTTAGCCATTGTGAACAGAGATGCAATAATGTGGGTATGTATTTTTCTTGCATATTAATTTATATTGCTTCAGGCACATACCCAGGAATGGTATGGTGGAGTTATTATGCATGTCTACTTTTAATTTTTTGATGACCTTCCATGTTGATTTCCATAGCGGTTGCAGCTTACATTTCCACCAGCAGTGAATGAGGGGTTTCTTTTCCCCACATCCTAAGGGAGCACCTTCAATGTTCAGTGTTCACATGAGAGCCTTACCTGGAACCAGAGAGCAGGCTTGTAGTTGTCTGATGACATGGCTCAGCTCCCCCTGAAGATTGGCTCCACTGGAATTTTTGAGGGCTTCCAACATGTTCTCAGCATCAACTGTCCCATCACCCTCAGCATCGAACTGGGCAAAGGCCTACATTATAAGAGATGAAAGAAAATATTTGTTTTTTCTATGTATTGTTGTGGTTACAGAGAGAGGAATCCATACTTATCAAAGAACAAATTCAGTATACTGAATTAATTTATTTGCTGTGTAGGACATATATGTGCAAACATACATGTATATACAATTTTATCATCCCCTCCTTTTGGAAAGTAAAAAGTAATTCTTATACTTTTCCAAATAATTTCAGAAGCAAGCATCTAGTGCTAGTGACTCATTCCTATAATCCTAGCTATTTGGAGGCTGAGATCTGAGGATCATGGTTTGAAGCCAGCCCAGGCAGAAGACTCTGTGGAAACTCATCTCCAGTTAACCACCAAAAAACCAAAAGTGGAATGGCTCAAGTGGCAGAATGCTAGCATTGAGCAAAAATGTTTAGGCCCTGAGTTCAAGTACCAGAACTGGCACTAAAAAGAAATCCAATGGCTACAAACTATCAAATACAAAGCAAGAATTAGAAAGCATTACCTTTAAACCTTAGGAAACAAGTACAGTACCTAGGGTTTGTTTAGACTTTATCTCTTCAACATTCATTGTACATAAGGGCTAACTTGGTTTATGGGCTTCATAGCCTTAGTTGGCTTTATTCCCCTTCTTCGCCAACCTTAACCTGCCTAACCAGGTTCTTTGTCCATGTTAGGCCATTTGGGCAACTTATTATTTCCTGGAATTTGGTTTGAGTCCTCTCTGTCTCCATGCAATTGTGTGAACTTACACAAGTTTGTTTCCATGTGTAAGTCTCAGCTTCTTGATTTGAAAGACGGCACAACATGATAAAACTCACAGGGTGTCAAGTGGATAAAGAACATGTGGCCGGGTGCTGGTGGCTCACGCCTGTAATCCTAGCTACTCAGGAGGCTGAGATCTGAGGATCACGGTTCAAAGCCAGCCCGGGCAGGAGAGACCGTGAGACTCCTATCTCCAATAAACCACCAGAAAACCAGAAGTGGCGCTGTAGCAAGTGGTAGAGCGCTCGCCTTGAGCTGAAGAGCTGAGGGACAATGCCCAGGCCCAGAGTTCAAGCCCCACGACGGACCAAAAAAAAAAAAGAACATGTGAACAGAGTTCACTAAAGAGCTATCAGCAATGACATGCTCCTCTTCCTTTCTAATTGACAACTTGTGTCATTACCTCCCTTACCCATCCTACAAGACCTTCCAGGAACTGTACCCTTATCCTAGATCTCAATTCCTCCCTAATCATGGCTTCTGTCCTGTTGCTAATGTACACACACTCACAGATTCCCCCACCATTAAATATTCCAGTGTCTTTTACCTTCCTTTCCAAGTAGGCCTTTTTCTCTTCTGTTTCTTTCATTTTCTTGCCCTTTTCTTTATTCCTGTTCACCATGAAATACAGAAATATCCCACTTAAGTTTCATGATGGGTATTCTTATTTCCACCCCATTACAGATCTCTGAACACTGTAGTGTTTAACAGCAACAAAAGCAAATCCCTGTGTTTGGGCCCAAATATTATGGGCATAAAATGCAGAATAGGAGACTGAGATTTTAGAATACTCTGAAGCATTCTTTTTGCCTCTATTCAACCTGTTAAGATCAATCAAAAGTTAATAGAGGACTGGGAAGGTGACTCAGTGGTAGAGGAGTTGCCTAGCATGCATGAAGCCCTGGGTTCGATTCCTCAGTATCACCTCAACAGAAAAGGCCAGAAGTGGCACAGTGGCTCAAGTGGTAGAGCACTAGCCTTGAGCTGAAGAGCTGAGGGACAGTGTCTAGGCCTGAGTTCAAGCCCAGGACTGGCAAAAAAAAAAAAAGTTAACAGAATCAAGGTTTATTGTTCACAAAAGGAGAAGATACCTGGTTCTACTCTGATTAGACTCAATCACAAAAGCCAAGTGAAGATACACAATGATCAGAGGAGAGACTAGAAGGAGAAAGACTAGAAAGTGCCCTGTGGAAAAGCTGAAGGAGGATGGAATTTAAATATCAACTTTTTTTTTCATTTTTGCTGTATTGGGTATTGAACCCTGGCCCTTGCACACTTTAGGCAAGCTCTCTATCATTGAGCTACACCTCTGAACCATAGGATCTCTACTGTACAGAAAAGATTACTGGAATAACAGAATCCTTCTCTTTAAATCTGATGGTATATGGGAAGGAGGGAAGGAGCAGTCAAAATTGACCTCATTAAATAGAAAGCAGAGGGCAAAGCTCATTATAAAGGTCCACTTGAACTTTGGATTAGGAAGCCTCTCAGGGCTTCAGAGAAATGGCTGGATAGCCAGTATCAGCAATACTCCCTCCCAAAGTCCCACTTAAGACAATTTTTTTTTTGTCGGTTGTGGGGCCTGAACTCTGGGCCTAGATGCTGTCCCTCAGCTCTTCAGCTCAAGGCTAGCACTCTACCACTTGAGCCACGGCGCCACTTCCAGTTTTTTCTGCTTATGTGGTACTGAGGGCCTCATGCATACAAGGCAAGCACTCTACCACTGAGCTACCTTCCCAGCACCTTAAGACAATATTATAAACTGATTTGGTAGTTTTGAAAGCACAAAGACAAAAAGAGGATATGATGTAATAAATAAAAAATTTGGGAAGATGAAAAACAGATGAGAGCATCAAGTTGGCTGAGTGGACAATGCTGGAAAGTAAACTTTAGACACAGGGCTCTAGAAAGACTCAGGAGTCAGAAAAACGTACTTTAGAAGGTAATTAAGTGATAGGATAAATACTGGATGTGAGGAGCCACTGAGTACTCAGTAACATATTTATAGATAAAATGATATGTCAAGATTTGCTTCCAAGCTAGAGCCAGTGGCTCATGCCTATAATCCTAGCTACTCAAGTATCTGAGATCTAAGGATCATGGTTCAAAGGCAACCGGGACAGGAAACTATGAGCCTTAGCTCCTATTAACCACCAAAACCCCAAGTACAGCTGTGGTTCAAGTGGTAGAGCACTAGCCTTGAGCACAAAACTCAGGGCTAGCACCCAGGCCCTGAGTTTAAGATCCAGGACAAGAAAAAAAAATTTTGCTTCTAAATAATTTGAAATTTAGAGCAAATAAAAATGGCCTTGAGGCTGGGAATATGACTTAATGGTAGAGTACTTGCCTTGCATGAATGAAGCCTTGGGTTCAATTCTTCAGTACCACATAAACAGAAAATGCTGGAAGTGTCGCTGTGGCTCAAGTGGTAGAGCACAAGTACTGAGCACAGAGAGGTTCAGGGACAGTGCCCAGGCCCTGAGTTCAAGCCCCAGTACAGGCACACACACAAAAAAAGTCCTTGAAATTGTAATTATTGATATAGGCTAATAGGTATGTGAAAATTATTATTTTTAATATCCCTTTTTTTGGAGAGGGCGATCCTAGGGCTTATACTGTGGGCCTAGGTAGTCTCTGAGTTTTTTGTGCTAGAGGCTAATGCTCTACCACTTGAGCAACTGGTTCCACTTCCAGTTTTTTTTGTGGTTAACTGGATATAAGAATCTCATGGACTGGTCTGGGAAGGTGGCTCAGTGTTAGAGCGCTTGCCTTGCATGCATGAGGCCCTGGGTTCGATTCTCAGCACCACATAAGCAAAAAGAAAAAAAAGCCAGAAGTGGCGCTGTGGCTCAGGTTGTAGAGTGCTAGCCTTGAGCTGAAGAGCTGAGGGACAGCGCCCAGGCCCAGAGTTCAGGCCCCAGAACTGGACCCCAAAAAAAAAAAAAAAAAATCTCATGGACTTTCCTGCCCAGGATGGCTTCAAACCATAATCCCCAGAGATCTGCTTCCTGAGAAGCTAAGAGTACAAGTGGGAACCACCGGCACCTAGAAGCTATCTCTGTTTCCTTATGTTTAAATTTTTATATTTTAAAAGGGTGGGAAAGACCCTCTTCCCAGTCTTGGTAAAGCCTGGGACAGGACCTCTAGAGAGTGGTACAGACAGGACAGACCAGTAAGCACACCCATAGCTGAAAATGAGACTAACACACTGAAACTAATGTTTACTTGCTAAATATTTAAAGGTTTAATCTTCCCCATGGCTCTCAGAATATTAGTAGTCAGTTTGATACCTTTCTGAACAAAAGAACAAAGAACACCAATAGTCCACAGGAATAAGACCATAGATACTAATTCAAACCACTCTTCTGCTTTTCTTCTTCTCCTGTCTCTTTTCCTTAATCCTCTGAAATACAAATCTTTCATTTTATAGAGAAGCTCACCAGCCCACAAGTCAACATATATCCTCCCACACTTTTTTTTTCCAGTACTGGAGACAACTCTGGGCCCACTAGGAAAGCATTCTCCCCTTTTTCATCAGTTATTTTCAAGGTAGAGTCTTGCTTTATGTCTGGCTGGCTGTCTTTGTTCCTCTTACTTGTGTTTCCTTGTATTGCTGGTGGATAAAAGGTTATGCCTAGGATCGCATGAACAGAGATACCCTGATCTTTGCCTCCCAAGTAGCTAGGATTACAGGCTTGAGCCACGGTGCCTAGTTTACTCCCTCATTTTTAGTGAGTGGACAGCCCAGAAGCACTGGGCATTTGAGAAAACCCTTAAAATCAAATGCAGAAAAAGCAAATAGGTGAATAGAAAAACTATGTAGAAGAAAACTTCAAAAAAAGATGACTAATGAGCTGGGTGTCATGATACATGCCTATAATTCCAACACTTAGGAGGCTGAGTGAAGAGACTTGTGAGCTTCAGGCCCACCTGGGATATATAGTAAGACCTATTTCCAAACCAAAAAAAAAAAAATCATAAATAAAAATAATGATAAAATTCACTCAGTTCAAATGTATAATTTGGGCTAGACTGTGGCTTAGTGGTAGAGTGCTTGCCTAGCATGCATGAAGCCCTGGGTTCAATTCCTCAGTACCACATAAACAGAAAAAGCTGGAAGTGGTACTGTGGCTTAAGTGGCAAAGTGCTAGCTCTGAGCAAAAGAAGCTGAGGGACAGTGTCATGAGTTCAAGCTTCATGACCCAAAAAAAAAAAAAAAAGTATAATTCTGTGGGTCTTAGT